CTCTTTTATGCACGTGTTCTCATTGCTACAATCTGTTCATTCTGTTTCTTTTTCTTACTTCCTGCTTTTGTGAGTGAGCACGTTAAGGAAATGTACAAAACAAAAACAGCAGTGTACGATGAAATGCGCGAGCAGATACGTCGTTAATGCTTGTATGTTTGCTCTATACTTTTTTTTTTAAATTGTAAGCGTTTTGTAACCGTTGCATTGAGAATTGCTCAACGTGTGCCTCGTGTGTCTGTTCATTATAAATGTACCACACGAAAATAAAAATATTAAAATATTTTGGTTACAGCAGATTCATTTTCTCCTGTTCACCATTTTCAAAATTAACACTTTTGGTGCGCCTGCGTATCCACTCGGGGAGTTTGGTACTATATGGGCATCTCAAAATACACTTTACACACAAGATGGCCCGCAAAATTTAGATCCTTGGTGCAACAAGTAGGAATATTCCTGAAATACGTGTTTTACTGGTCACATTTATGCAACAAAATTTTAGACCCGAACTACCCCTGCAGAAAAAAAAAAAGATTCGCTTTTTTGTACTGGTAGTTTAGTCTTGCAATATGTTTGCATAAATGTGGCCAGTAAAACACGTATTCAGAGAAATTTCTACTGGATGCGTCAAACCGCTGAAGTTTCCGGGTTATTCTTTTGCGGAGCGTCTTATTTGGGGACACCAGGTAGTTAGCTGTCACAATGTCCGTGTCCGTTTGTTTATGTCCTTGTCCCTTTTTCTCCAGTCTCGGGTTTACCAAAATGCTCGGTAAAGGCTCCGACTGCTGCAGGTGACCCTTATGGGGAGAACCCACGGAACAAATAAAACAAGGACCTTCTCCTCCTCTCCCCCCCCCCCCTTTTTTTTTTGAGCCACATTCCGGGTCTGCCCCCCCCCCCCCCCGGGAAAATGGAAACTCTACGCCGCTGATTCGAATTATGGGTCTAACAAGCACGTAACTTTCGCTTGAGAAAACGAAAACCCTGTCTTTATTGTTCTTGTGCCCGGATCCCATACATTTCACTGTCCTCTCAAGCGCGAATGGAGTACCGTGACGTCAATTTCGTTGCGTGTGATCGCGCACACCCGGCGGCTGCTGGTTCGTGGAAAAATCGTGCGCCACTTATTATGGACATTAAAATGTTTGGTTCAGTATCCCTTTAAGCCCATCCTGGCATAGCTAGGTGTGGAACAAGATTCAGAAAAATTGCCATTTTGGAATAAGATGTAGCAGACTGATTCATGGCACAAACGGTGCAGCACTTCCATCACGATGCTATGGGCAGTATCCAACACAACTGCCTTTCCAAAGCATGACACTCAGGAGTCCTCAATCTACTACTGTGGAATGGTCCCACTCAGTTTCCAGGTTGTACATAGTTGGCTTTACCATTATTTTAAAACTTGAGAGTGCGTACAAAAAAAAAAAAAAAAAAAAAAAAAACGCCGCGCAAAGTAGTTTTTACAAGATTTGGTTGTCGGACGAAGAAGCGATGCTTTTGGCATCTGAAATGTACAAGTCTTGATAAGGTAACATATATCTATGGTTCCGTGTTTTCGGATAAATCCGAAAAACTCCCGCTGGTAAAAAGTTGACCAATGCGGATTTATCCTATGAACTCCAAATTTTGATGTGCCAACCCCCCCCCCCCCCCCCCCCCCCCCCCCCCCCCACCCCAACAGATACACACACAGACCCAAATGTATTTTGCAATTAGGTTCGATCAGCGCACTAAGTTAAAGTGACCAGACGTCCCGATTTAGGCGGGACAGGTCCCGCTTTTCCGGCCGTGGTCCCGCTGTCCCGCCAGTGTGCTTGTGGGACGCCGTTTTGTCCCGCTTTTGCTCCCCAAACCGCGGATAAATGAAAGATGCGGTTAAACGAAAGGATCGCACCGGTGAGAGGGTGTTTTCTCTGATCAAGGAACAAGATATGCTCGACAAAGAAGATGCTGAAGGTTAATTGGGGTATGACATGTGAACAGTACTATGGACCATAGTACACAAAAATAAATACATTGATACTCAAGAAATATTCCAACCAAATGCATTAGATAGGTTCAAGCCACACAGCATGCAAGTTGCAAGAAAAGAAATGCCCACAGGGTATACGAAATAATAAAAAGGTGAGATTTATTACCGAAATTTAAACTTTTCAAGCCTCGTTAACACAATACCCTCCCCCCCCCCTCCCTCCCTCCCTCCTCCCGATACGCGTCCCACTTTGGGGCCCGAGGAATATGGTCACTTTACACTAAGTCAATAGTCCTGGGAAAATGCTACTAAACTTATCTTTCAAATCTCGGTCAGGACAACATGTCATTGTACTTTCGGATCACGGCAAAAGTCACTATTTATGTTTCCAGTTTGGGTCATACTATTTGTGCTTTAGAGGAAGGAGATTGTGTTTTTGTAACAGCGAAAGCTATGGACCCTAGAGATTGCATAGAAAGGAAAAGAGGGACAGTTGAAACTTCCCTATTATGTCCTTTACCTCTCCACCTCGCGCAGCTGCACGGTAGGTTGATGGAATAATATGGGAAGAATACAAGCTTTCCAGCGACTACCTCCAGGAGTTAATTGATTTAAGGTATCGACGTTTATCGATGCAACACTTGTGTGCAACTTTTGTGATAGTACAAATTAGTATTGCCAATGGTAATGGCACCAATGCCAAATCCATATATCTAATCTTAAAGGGACACTGACAGGGTATTTATGCTCGCCGAGGTTTTTAGTTGTACGTGACATATGAGAGCTCAACTACCCAGAACAGAATTTGCGGCTCGAAATTCGGTTTCTTTCCGCCCGAAAACCGCCGATCAAGAACTGGCCGGTTCGAGTCTCGCTCACTCTCTTTTCCGCGGTCACGGGCCGTTTTCGAAGGTATCGATGCGACCACCAAATTTAATCAAAGTCGTGGGTCACTGAAGGCACACACTCAGTATTAAAAATAGAAAAAAATATGAAACCCATTTTTTGTGGCTTCTAAAAAGCTGTAAATACGTTGATTGAAAAAAAAAGTTCCACAGACAACCGGAAGCATTCTGTGCGTTCGTCGTTTCGCGTATCGTGGGACTCGCGGGGACGGCGATGGTAGCGGACGACGGGCGTGGGACCTCTATTTCAGAACTGTCGTTCGCGGTACCGGCGAATTTTGTCTGCCTTTAAAAGAGAAATTTGGGACTGGTCAAAAGAATTGGTATTCATCCCGTACGACAGGCCCGACCAGCAAGCCGATTTGCACGAAGACGTCGCCGAGCCGTCGCTCCCTTCTTGTGGCTGAAGACATCGCTCGCGCAAACGTCAAGCGCGACGTGTCTACTTCGAGTGGAATATGCACGCGTAAGATTTCTTTACTAGGTGAGAATGTCGCCAATGCGTGGTGCATCCCGACTTCGACCCGGGAGTGCTTTTGCTAGAGGAAAATCGGCAGCAAACTTTCCAACTTACAGTTTATCGGCTGAATTATTACTAAGGAAAAAGATACCCCCACTTTGATATGCCCCAGTAGCTCAGTGGGAAAGACGTCCCCTTCGCACCCAGTAGAGCCGGGTTCGATCCCCCGTGAAACTTTTTTTTTTTTTTCTAAATATTATCTGATGTCTACATTTCTTTTTTTTTTTTTTTACAATTATTACTGAAGAAACAAAAAAAAAAAAAAAGAAACAAATGTTGTGGACGACACGTCGCTGAATTAGATGGTATGGGATATCCTTTTTGACACCTGCGGACTCAATGTAATCACTTTCCACAAAATACAAGGAGCATATAAATCAGGTAGCGTCCGCTTTCCGAGGTGCCCGTAAATGGTTTACAGGAATTGCAGCCAGCCATTGGTCCCGATCCCGTTGATCTTTCGGAAACTCTGTCGCACAATGCCACTTCTGTTTCGGACGCGGGACATGTGAGCCAGCTCTTCACGCAACATCTTGGGTGTATTCTTTTCGGAGCCGATCAAAATTCACCACGGGCACTCACTACTCATCTCCAACTCCTCAATGTACAAAACAACTCATCTTGGAGTAGAGAACAACGAGCGGAACATACATAACTGCAAAAGAATCCGACGGCGAGCAGTTCCCAAACGCCGCATGTCGTCTGCTACCGGGAAGGAGGAGAAAAAAAAAAAAAAAAAAAGAAAAAAAACACACGGTCGGGTGTAGCCACGTGACTTCCGCCACTCACTCCCTTCTCTCCACTTCTCCGACCTCCGTCGGGTTTCGGTTTCGGTTTCGAGCAGTTGCGCCTTTTGACTTTATTAAAAAAATACGCTACTCTGTTGCAAAATATTAATTGGGTAGTCCTCCGACACCATAATGAAGCGCCTGGCAAAAAATTAAAAAAAAAAATTTGGGGGGTGTCAGTGTCCCTTTAAATGCACCAACATATATTTCAGTTCTCCACATCAAAAAGGAAATGAGTAATGCTCTGTGGGGAGCTGGACTATTTTTTACTATGGTTCTTGAGGTGAAAGAAAGTGTGCCATGACTTGCCTAAACACTCCTGCTTGCTGCCTTGAGTTTGGATAGCATGCTGCTATTTTACTCCATGAAATCAAGCACAATCTGCTTGGTTCACAGTCTCCTTCCTCAATGGAAGAAATTTACTTACTTATTTGGTTCATGCTTGATGAAAATGGAGTAAGAAAGCGTAAAATAAATGGGATATGAGCGGAATTGCTTCTTTGGCACCGCAGAGGAGGGGTCTTGTGGTCAAAGCCACCTTGAAATGATCCAGCCCCTTCCTCCCCCACTTTATGAGCTCAACTTTGTAGCCCCCCCCCCCCCCCCCCCTCCATTTCAAAGAAAGGAAACCTGGTTTCGTTATCGAAGTAGTTGGAAAGTGGTGGTTAAACAGCTAGAAAAGCACCCCGTGACCGACAGTACAATTCTATTATTTTTAATGCCATTCTTGTGCGACCTCCCTTCAACATCATTTGAAAAGCATTACTGCACAGAAAAAGTGTGTTTTAGTGTCCAACAGGTCGACACAACGGTTACTGTACCGAAGAGAACGGTGTTTTATTTAAAAAAAAAAAAAGAAGAAAAGAAACAAGAACATGCCATAAAGTTTGTTGCAGCAGTTGTTGGAATGGCTGACATAGTTCTAAGCTTGGAGCTTCATCTTAGAACTGTAGGCAAAATACCAGAGTAGCACTGCAACCAGGACGGCCACAAACTCGCTCTGCACCCAAGCACCGTGGTAGGTTCCCTGTTGGATAGGAAAAGTAGAGAAGACAGGTACATCGCCGTCAGAATAGGTTCACTGGCCATTCCCTTCACTGCTTTAACCCTTTGATGCCCAGCATTGCCCACATGCAAAAACTCAGATCAATTTTCTTCCACGCCACGTGTGCCTCAATAGATTTAGTGCCCCCTGTCGCAAGGGCGAGGATACCTGCACTTCGCAGTGGCAGATCGAAATGTGCCTCCAAAACGGATCACTCATCCTTTAAAACCAAAGCCGACTGACTGTGGATGGGAGGCATGATGGCGTGTACCAGTGGCATCAAGACTGTGAGAAGCGAAAGAGGCGGAAGTATATTGCAAGTCCGGTTACATCTTTCTCTACTGTGCGAGATCCGGAATGCTCCTGTGCCTTCTCCCAGGTGGCAACTGTTTTCATTCGTTCGATGTAAGGTAGCGGTGCAAATGCCCAATGTTGCTCACAAGCAACATCTCAAAAACATGTTTACGAAATAAGCAGATTTTCTTTAGAGACCAAATTTTTCTTATGCTGTGTGTTCTAAAACTATGTCACGGTTTATGGGTCTCCAGTATTTCAACTGAAGTTTTGGCATCAAAGGGTTAAAGAGGCCATGCAACAATTTCCATACTTTGAGTAAATAACACTTAGGATTGAATCTTTGCAGTTCATAACTTATAAATCACGTATCATTCTTCCTCTATGCAATGGTAGTCATAAAAAAATTTGAGAAAAACAAGCAGCGTTCTACCCCTTGACTCGTAGCCCTAGCAAGTGATATGTGGTCATGTCTCGTCAAACACTGTTGGATCGATTATGTGCCATAGAGTTTCTTAAAAGTGGCTAGTTGCAGAATTGCTTGTTCCTTGCATCCAGTTCACATTGAACCCCAAATCCAATGTTTCTGCCATTTTTGTAAAGTATGATATAATTCACTCGATGAAAATATTGTATAAAAATTTATATTCAAAATAGACATACTAGTATGTTATGAATTCAGATTCTGCTTTGCCCTAAATACATCTGTGATCTGGGTTAAAAATATTTACACTTTACTTATTTTTAAGGGAGGACGCTACCCAGTAAAAATGGTTTCTGCAAAAAGGTTGATTTTGAAAAATGCCATAATTACATTTACCACCTTCCAGAGAGTATTCCCAGAAAGTTTCAATAGTTTACACTGCATAGTTATTTTTTTATAAATTATTTTCGGTCCACCTTGCTAAAGAAAAAGTAGCGGTTGGAGCACATTGAACGCGTTTTTCTCTGTTCCATTTATCAGCATAAATTTCACTTTAGGAAAACTATTGTTTGACAATGGGACGAAAAGAAAGACTGATTCATAGCATGGGTTCTCCTAACTGGAATTTAATAAGCAACACAACTGTGGCATTTTTTTTTTTACTATGTGGATGTCTTTTATAAAAGATATTACGATTTTGTCGACGACGTAAAATGATAAAAAGGCAGTTGACTTTTCGCCGCAATATTAGCATAAAATAAGTTACTATTTGGAAATTTTAATTTTCACACTTCCACTCTCCAGGCATTTTATTGTGTATCTAGTGAAGAAAAATGTTGGGTATCACATTAGTTTTCTAACGATACGTTTTCCTAAACAAGGTCAGTGTGCATCTGATAGAAATGACTATAATTTCTTTTACAATTCATGTATAGAGACGGAACAGAGGTGCTACATTCTGCCTTGCAACTTCCAGTGTATACTGTAAATTTCATTCATATTAAGCAAAAAGATCAAAAGATGAACCCTTTGGGTAGTGTCCCCCCTTAAATAAAATATAACATGCAGAGTGAGCTCGATATTGTGGCTGCTTACCGGGTGGTGAACATTAAGTGTGAAGAGGGGAGTGACACTCTTGGCATCTTCACCAGTACGCTGGGCCTGCACAAATGACACGAAAAAGATAACTCCTAAAATGTTCCAACTATATCATTGCATAGGCTTAGCATACAGATGTTCACATGTTAGTGATACTGAGCCCATAAAAGTGGCAGCTACAGAACCTATAACAAGCACTATAGATAGTACATACAACTCGAGACACATGTCAACATCCATTCCAGTGGAAAGAGCCATGGGTCAATTCACTCCTCAAATGTGCAAAGTTTTTTTGCTTTTTTTTTTATGAATGTGTTTCTGTGGTCATAAAAATTAGACTTCATGAGCTCTATTCTTCTTTTTAACGAAAATGTGCCTCAAACAGCTTATTGCTAGTCAAACATTTAGTCCTCTGTCATGATAGCACATGACTGAGGGAACAAGGAAGGAAGGCCTTCAGCGGCCAGTCTTTGAACCGCATACTTCAGGTGGGAAAAAGTTGGATCTTGGGGGGCAAATACTTTAATACAGCGTGTCCCCCCAAAAACATTTACACGGTTTTCTTCACCACAAAAATAAGCTAGGCATCGCCAAAGACTCATTCTCCACCCAAACGGAGCGATCTGAACCATATGCCAAAGTTACAAGTGATTACAAGTTCAAAAGTTACAAGTGATTTCCTAAAAAATTTTAATAGGAGAATGGGGCCCATACTTGGTAACTGGCACCATTCAGTGCCACAATTTGAGGGCCGCACCAACCACTGTTTCCCCATTGAAAATTTCAGAAAATAACCTATATAAATTTTTTTCTAACAAGATAATGGTTGATTCTAAAACTTTTGCGTCTGGTTTGGACCACTAGCGCTACAATTGGCAGGAGAACGACAGTTTGACAATGCAGAGTTAAATTTCGCAATAAGCAAAAAAAAAAAAAAAGGCTCGTAAATTTTTTTTGGGGAAATTCTGTGGTATTTTTTAAACGTTGCGCCTGTTTTGCCCCGCATCCTCCATAATCGACACAGCGCCAAACGCGGGAAAGATTACCGCACCTTGCGAAGAGCGGTGTACCCCTCGTCGTCGTAGATCCTGATGACGTACTCGCCGGAGGCGGCCTTGCTGAGTTCCTCCGTCCAGCTCACCTGGTAGCCGGAGGTGTCCAAACTCCGGACGGCGGGCAACACCTTGCCATTCACGTCGGCATACAGTGCCAGATCCTGGAACATCAAACATGGCGGATCGTTTTCTCACCAATTCCTCGTCTGTGGAGCGTGTCGCACCCGTAGTGAAGGGCCTGGAACGTGTCTCCGACCCCGACTTTTGTGATGACTTCATTTGTTGCCACGCCTGGACCCCTTTCGACGCGCAAGGTGGAACGAGACGCTAAAACACGCCGGTCAAAGATGCGTACCGGGCACTGTGCCTATTCAGAGAGCAAGTCGTCTTCCTCTTGCGCAAGGGTTGCGGTTATGTCGGAACGACGCCGAGTACCGATTGGTTTTGATTGGAACGATAGTGGGTAGACCTCAATGCTAAATGGCTCAAGGTCTACCCACTATTTTTTGTTCAATCTGCCAAGAGCTTGGCATTCCGACATCATTGCAGCCTCTGTGCAAGAGGCAGAAGACGAACTTGCGCTCCGCATAGTCACAGACGCGACGAGACCGGAAAGGCGTCTCCTTTGGATGGCCAGCCTCCAGCACACTCCCCGCCTTCCCCCACACTGTGGCTGCGTGTTCACACTCAAGGCTCAGAAGATGCCCAAGCGTTCTGGAAGCCACTGTCGGCGGCAGGTTAAAAGCCCAGTAGAAGCTCCCCCTCCAGCACGTGGTCGTCATCTTCCACCAGGCTTCGGCTGCGCGTGCGACAAAGCGCCACAAAAGGCAGAAAGCTCCATCTTGCAGCAAAGCACCTACTGGGGATTTAACCTTGAGTATAGGAAGATCACGCTGGAGGTGGGACAACTGGAACTCCTCTCTGCTGTTCTCAACCCGTCGGTGTAGTATATTGTTGACAACGGCTTCTTGGGAAAACGCATTGGATTAACTTGCGAGACATTAGAAAGCGTGCAAATGTCTACTGCCGACGGCACTTGGTCCTAAAAAGCCAGCTGTCTCGTTTACTCGAAGGAAGGTAGTCCGGTAATGTTTTAAAGTGCCTTAGTTAAAAAAGAGTGCATGCAGATTCCTTGTTTAGGCTGCTTCGAAAGTTGCCTTGAATGGATTACAAGGCCTGAAATTCCAGTCCAGTCATGAATCAGCGCAGATCATGACTGTCTTTGATCAGGGATCGGCCGGAGTCTCGAGGGCCGTAGCTCAAGCTATGTCAGCAGATCACTGTATTCAACCGACTAGAGCCGCTAAATAAGCTATGCTTCAGAGTAACAATACTTTAGCCATGGATGAATGCTAATGGCTGTACCCTTCATACCGGGCAGTAACTTGTGCCCCCTAGCCTAGAAATTTGTTGCTTAAAATTATTGTTGCCAGGACTTCATCCAAAATTGCAGGGAATGCTTTTCGTCCCCCAGAAATGTTAAAACAGCTTGACAGAAAACCAATACCGCTAGAGCTTTCTGATATGACACCTAAAGTTTAGGAAGCTGAATTTTCGAATCGTAGCCGTAGCCAATTCTGCCTGCTCTTCACCAGGCACCAAAACGTTAGCAACCATAATATAATCGGGGATGGAGTGCCGATACTTTAATCATAGCTTATTTAATCGGCTCTACAGCCGACTATCTTAAGAGATTACGGAATGTAATGAAAACATACTGAATGATGCTCGAAGGCTTCTAAATTCTCAATCGCTCAAAGTCGATCCGACCGACGTCCAAACAACTGGGACACTCAGGGGCCACGACCCCCCACATCTCTCTGAATGTTTGTGACTCTTGCTTTGAACCATCAAACAACTTGTAAGAGTAACCCTATCAGTTTTAAGTGGTACACACTTGACATGCCATGGTGGTGAATGAGTAAAATGCACTAATCTGAGGAACCCACTTAGTATGTTCTCAAACTGCGAACATAATGCGAAAAGGCGGCGATTACTGCAGAAAGATACGTTCAGCAGGCAAGAGATCTTATAGCCCACTCCGATGTACGCTTGATGACAGTCTGATCCCCAAGTACCGGCGTGCAGTTTCGAGGAGCACATGCATGCAGGGAGCCGGCTGGGGTAATTGCCCTATGCGGTTTGGTTGGAGACGTACTTTTTGAGGACGTGCTTTTTGACTGACACCAACAAAATAAATAAAAAACAAAATAAAAAAAGAGACCGAAAGCCACGGTTTACGGATGTTTTACCCTAAAGCCGCCGGTTAATACTCTCCCCGGGAATACTAACCTTAGCACCGTTGCGGCACTTGACGTCGAATTCTGCGATGAACGCAATGTTGGCGACGATGAGCCCATCAGTGGTGGTGTACAGCTTGTGGGTCACCTCTGGCTTCTCGCAAGTCTCGCCTGAAAATATATGCGTGGATAAAGAATTTGGGGGCATAAGGATCGCAAAGCACGCTACCGCACGTTCCGTAAGGACTCAAGTCACGCGTGTCCCCGTGTTAACCATATCGCCGTAAGGCACGACCGTTGAAGACTTTTGGTAAAATGAGAATGCCCGCTCAAAGTTAAATTCCGCCTCAATAACGGCCGAAAGAAGGAAATTACCTGAGCAAGTGTTGACGAAAATTAGGAGGAGAGCGGCCAAGATACACCTCGACGCTGCCATGTTTCTGAAAGAGAGAACACGTGGACTCTACTCTCGAATCAGGTCACCGGCAAAATGTAAATGAAGTGCAAACACAAAACAATAAAAACAAAAAAACAACAACAACTGGCACACGTTTGTTAATGGGTTTTATAAGCCGGCGCTATTTATTTGATCAGGCATGAAAATATATGCGTGTTTGTAGACTTTGTAGCTTTTGGCGTCGAAGCTATTTCCCCTACTGCCTATCAAGTGGGAAACGCCCTGAACAAAAGTGGGCGGGATAGGTTACATGTGCATGTTCTGTACCGCCCCGTAAGTGCCGCTTGGCGCCGCTTGGCGCGACTCTATCAAACATTAAATTTTAAAACTTTATGTCAAGTATTTAAAATTATTAGCATCTAGAAACTCAAACATTGTTTTATTTACGTTATTTTAATTTTGTTTACATTTTTAGGTTTTTTTAGCGTAAATACATCTTTCAATATTTGGTGTGTTTTTGGCGCCCCTGTGCGACTTTTTTAGAAACGAGTCAAGGCTCTGAGTTATTCGAGAAACGCAGAAGGCACTCAGAGCTTGTACAGGTCCCCGGATCAGCGGAGCTTATGGTTCCCGCATAAACAGTACGTGCGGAATTCGGGGGTTTGTGGGTGCGCTGGTTTTTGACAGGTAATCCCCGGGCGTTTCTCCTTGGTTATATTTTGAGTCGCATCACTCAGAAACTGCAACGGCTGTGATCTGTCCTTGTTCACAGTGCACTGGAGCGAAGGTAGGCGGAGTACCGCTGATACGCCAGACAGTTTGGGAGGACGGTACATCGGAGGATTGGTTGGTTACCAGCGGCAACGTTTTGCAGGTAACGTCCCTCTCTTGCGCTCCGATTAATTGCGATTCGAGTGCATGTTGCCTTGAGGGCAGTCATTCCTCTCGCTGCTTCGGGGTTTTCATGCTGGTTTGAGGATTTGGCTGTCCGAATTTAGAAACCAATCGATATCTTTCTGGTCCGTATTACCCCAAGAAACGGTGTCAAGCTTGCAACGGGCACACATTCGCGCGTGTACTTAGCAAGTTCCAAAAATAATTGTTATAGTCACCTTATCTGTCTTCCGCTATCGATTCAGTCTGATTCGGTACTTATATTCGCCGCGCTGAACTTGCGTTCATGCGTTAAGAAAGCGCTTTATCGAAAGTTGGGAACAGCTAGCGCTGAAGGTTATACACGACGTTCTACGACCGCGGTTGCCCCTGCTCGTGAAAATCTGTTTACCTAGCTATCGTTACATGTGAGCCATCGAAATCCGAATACGCGAATACCGCCCCGATGCTGGTTTTCTGTTATCAGCTAAAACGACTCGCGTAACCGATCAATTCGTCCGTGATCGTGTGGGCGGTGTTCCCCTTGGGAGGTTTCCACACCCTGCCGCATCGTGCGATAGTAACTACGAAACAATTTACGGAATTTTCATTGTTTTATTTTTAGATCATGAAAATAACGAGAGAATGGCAACAGCTTGATGATTCGTCAGTCATTTTGTTTTTACTTTTCCACCTACAAGGACATCCCGTAATTTGAGCGATTGCGTAAATGGGCGTGTACTTTTTTTCTTTTTTCCGGTGTTTTTGCGCATGTTTGTTGAATTGCGTGATTCATTTCTTTACCGTTTGCTGTGTTTTTGGTTCTGGTTTTCTTTTGCAGATAAACAATGGATCTCAACTTCAGAGTCTTGAAAGAACCGAGAGGGTTTATGCGAGTCTTACAATTTGTAAGTTGTGACTTTGGTGTTGTCCGCGTTTTCATTATGACTCCTATCGTGAAGCACGTTCGATACAACCACATTGTTTCCAGCATTTCTCATTGCCCATTCACATCACATCCAGCTGATTTCACATCCAACGCCTCGCCAGTGAAAAGTTAACCTTACCTCTTCTTCGCTCGTTGCAAAGAATTTTCTCTTTTCCTATTTAATAGCGAATTCGTTTCACGGCAAGCCTGCCCACTCGCAGCGTGGAGCTAGTTTGTTTCGGCTGGCACTCCACGAGTGGTCACACTCTCAGAGTTTGTTTCAGCGCTGGCACCCCATGTGTGCATATACTCGCTGCATTGAGAAATTTGAGCGTGCGCCAGAATGCAATCCTGTCATGCCTCGCTCCGGCGAGGAGTGGGAGCAGACGGCAAGGTAGCAAGGGTTCGTCTGCTCAATAGTCTGCTACAATGTGTCATTCGTACAATGGAAACGAAAGGAAAAAAAGTAGATTTTCTGATAGAAATCATGTCCCGCAGGCAGCGAAATCAAACGCGAGCTTGAATTGTGAGCATCTGCTATTTTATGAAGAAAAGTAATTGACAACTCGTGCTTTATTTGAAAGTTTGTAATCACTCTGTTGCCGTACAGACGCTGAAATATACCAGTGTGTAAAGAAATGCTCAGAACAAACGGATCAGCGGCCCTCGAGATCTTCAGCACCATCCGTGTGTGGATGAAAAATTTAACATTTGTCGACAAAGCCCCTCCATCAGAAACCTGTGACTGCCAAATGAGCATCCGAGGAAGCTAAACATGGTGACTTTACCCGAGGCTTGGGCAACATCATCATGTTTAACATTTACATACGTCAACTATCTTGCCCCGTCGTATTTTGTTTGAGAAAGCTCTCATTTGTGACGCCCTTACCAAGGCAAAAATCAAATCCACCTGTAACTATGATCGAAATCGGAAGTCCCACGAAATGTTTTGCTGAATATTCCAACAGACTAGTTTTAAGCCGTACCCTTTCAGTGGTTCACGCAAAATGTCATGCTCAAACGAATCAAGCCTCTCCGCGGACAGCATAATCAGTTTTTTCCGGTGTAAACCCGAGCTGCTCTGTAGTCAGCTGGTTGCGGAAATTTACGCTGTCTGTAAATATCTCTACGACAGCCGAATTGCTGTCGTAGAGCTCTCTATAAATATCTCTACGACAGCCGAGTCGCTGTCGTAGAGACATCGCAAATAAAAACTACAGGTTTCAGCCACCAACGTTTATAGATAAACGTTGGTAGTGACTGCACTCTCACACTCCCACCCATCAAGTCGACCAGAAAGGTGCTAGTTCCAGTTTTAGGTCAGTTCTCTCTCTACAACATAGGTGGCGGCAGCGTCAGCCTTCTGAATTCAGGGCATTTGGCAAGTTCGTTTGAGGCCAGTTCTCCGTGCGACACTCCGCGAGTGCGATGCATTTTGGGAGAGAACTCGGTGTCATTGCGTGTGAAACGAACTCACTATTAGAGTATTGCAATGCCGACTGCAAGTCCTCCATCCCTAAATCCACATGAGAGGAAATTGCTGTCACATTTTATTCACTTCAAGAATAGCTTAAAAACAAGGTTGTGTTAGTCCCCCCTGAAATGTTCTCAGTGTTATAGTTCTTGTAACCTGCTCTCACTAAAATGCTTTGGTTTTAAAGGCTAAAACAGAAAACCAACGAAACATGCTTTTGGTAGGAAGCGAGACTGGCTGCATTTGCAACCACCCGACATTCTTCTCTTTGATCTGCCTGTGGTCTAATGCAGCTTTCTGTTGTGATGCAGGTCTTTGCCATTTTTGCCTTTGCCACAACGTCTGGCTTTGGGAGTGCCACAACTTTCAAGGTCTCGTGCAGTCAAGAGTCCCCCGTCACAGTCAATTTTCAGTTTGGCTATCCATTTAGGTATTAACTCATGAATATCAACTCTTTCTTCTTTTTTCTAAATTGTTTTTAGCTTTGCCCAAGTGATACTTGGTGTGGCAGCAAACTTTTGTTTACATTTGTTTTGATCCTAATTTATACAATCTTGTAAGCGTGGCACAGAAAGGAAACACACGGCCGACCCTTTATCTTTCATGTCTTTTTGTTTTTTTCTCTTCAACCTGGAAAATATGATTTTAAAGGGATACTGAATCGAATTTTAAAATATACCTCTCAGGGTCAGAAATAAGTTGAACATGATCAACACAACCTGCTAATGGCAATCGCATGTAAAATATACCTCTCAGGGTCAGAAATAAGTTGAACATGATCAACACAATCTGCTGATGACAATCGCACGCATGTATTAAAACGGATGGCTATATTTCTCGTTCCAAAGGACTGATTCCAGCGAGCGCTCAAAGATCTGCCATCGAAGAGCTCTATGCAGCATGAGAGCTGTACCAATTGATGTCACAGACGCGACATCACTTGGTACAGCACAGGCAAAGCTGCTTGGGGGCTGGCGTGGTTATCAGATCTGCCACTTGGTGTTGTCAATGCATTACAACCTGGCCGTTTTTAGTTTCCACTTCCCACAAGAAGGCCGGGAGAGAAGGGAAATCTGGTTCAACAGCGCTCGTGCTCGTGCAGCTTGCCGCCATACTTCCGGGGAGCGGCGCTGCTTTTAAGTGTATAGTGACGTAACGACGTCCAGTTTATTCCTTTCAAATAATGTTTTGGTGTCCTTAAAGGGACACTGACACCCCCCAAAAATTTTTTTTTATTTTTTGCCAGGCGCTTTATTATGGTGTCGGAGGACTACCCAATTAATATTTTGCAACAGAGTAGCGTATTTCTTTAATAAAGCCAAAAGACGCAACTGCTCGAAACCGAAACCGAAACCCGACGGAGATCAGAGAAGTGGAGAGAAGAGAGTGACTGGCGGAAGTCACGTGGCTACACCCGACCCTGCGTTTTTTTTTCTTGTTTTTTTTTCTCCTCTCCGGTAGCAGACGACGCGACATGCGGCGTGCGATGCGGCGTGCGGGAACTGCTTGCCGAGCGATTCTTTTGCAGTTTGTTTGTTCCGCTCGTTGTTCTGTACTCCAAGATCAGTTGTTTTGTACATCGAGGAGTTCGAAATGAGTAGTGAGTGCCCGTGGTGAATTTCCATGATCGGGTCCGAAAAAAATAAACCCAAGATGTTGCGTGAAGAGCTGGCTCACATGTCCTGCATCCGAAAAAAAGTGGCATTGTGCGACAGAGTTTCCGAAAGATCAATGGGATCGGGACCAATGGCTGGCTGCAATTCCTGTAGAACATTTACGGGCACCTTGGAAAGCGGACGCTACCTGATTTATATGCTCCTTGCATTTTGTGGAAAGTGATTACATTGAGTTCGCAGGTGTCAAAACCGAAATCCCATACCGTTTAATTCAGCGAAGTATCGTCCACAACATTTGTTTGTTATTTTTTTTTTGTTCGTTTCTTCAGTGATGATTGTAAAAAAAAGAAAAAGATATGTAAACATCGGAAAATGTTTGAAAAAAAAAAATTCACGGGGGATCGATCCCGGTCCTACCGCGTGTGAAGCGGACGTCGTTCCCACTGAGCTACTGAGGCATCTCGTTTCTAGGGGATCTCTTTCCTTAGTAATAATTCAGCCGGTAAACAGTAAGTTGGAAAGTTTGCTGTCGATTTTTCTCTAGCAAAAGCACTCCCGGGTCGAAGTCGGGCAGCACCACGCTTTGGGGACATTCGCACCTAGTAAAGAAATCGTACGCGTGCATATTCAACTCGAAGTAGACACGTCGTGCTTGACATTTGCGCGAGCGTTGTCTTCAGCCACGAGATGGGAGCGACGGCTCGGCGACGTCTTCGTGCAAATCGGCTTGGTGGCCGGGCGTGTCGTACGGGATGAATACCAATTCTTTTGATCAGTCCCAAATTTCTCTTTTAACGGTAGACAGAATTCGCCGGTACCGCGAACGACAGTTCTGAAATAGAGGTCCCACGCCCGTCGTCCGCTGCCATCGCCGTCCCCGCGAGTCCCACGATACGCGAAACGACGAACGCACAGAATGCTTCCGGTTGTCTGTGGAACTTTTTTTTTCAATCAACGTAATTACAGCTTTTTAGAAGCCACAAAAAAATGGGTTTCATATTTTTTTCTATTTTTAATATTGAGTGTGTGCCTTCAGTGACCCACGACTTTGATTAAATTTGGTGGTCGCATCGATACCTTAGAAAACGGCCCGTGACCGCGAAAAAGAGAGTGAGCGAGACTCGAACCGGCCAATTCTCGATCGGCGGTTTTCGGGCGGAAAGAAACTGAATTTCGAGCCGCAAATTCTGTTCTGGGTAGTTGAGCTCTCATATGTCACGTACAACTAAAAACCTCGGCGAGCATAAATACCCTGTCAGTGTCCCTTTAAGGGCGAAAAATTGGTTCCTATGGGGTGTGACTAGAACATAGTTGACATTTAGACAATAAAATAGGCGCTAGAATTTCGTTGCAGTATCTCTTTAAGGAAGGTAGAGAAACAGTATGCACTATCGGGGGTTTGCGCTTCGAATGAAATGAAGCAGTAGGGAAATAGTATGCACTATCTCAGGACGACGTCAGACCATGGAGTACTACTATTGACTGATTGCTAGTATGTCTTCATTGATCTCATTGGGTGCAATCGCTCACTTGCCTAGTGGCATCAGGTACAACTATGGCAGTGGCCATGTGGGCCTTGAAAACTGTGATGCATCGGAGGCTTTGTCGTCTGTTCTCATTCTAGCACATGGAGCACACGTGTACTGCATCACAATTCTTTAGGCAGACGTGATTGCTGCCATAATTGCGCTTCCCAGTTAGTGACGGGATCTCAAAGCCCTGGCTCCCAGCAGCCTGGTCTGGAAGCAATAACACAGTATTAAATAATTTACAGTGAGTGTGCTCTGCATCATTTTTCATGCCATACACTTTTTTTTTTTGTAAAAAAACGTGACCCCAAGGTTTGATGCCACTACACTTCTTTAAAAGGGACACTGACAGGATATTTATGCTCTCCAAGGTTTTTATTTTTACATGACATATGAGAGCCCAACTACCCAGAACACAATTTGCGGCTTGAAATTCGTTTTTTTTTCCTTCCGAAAACTGCCCATCGAGAACTGGGCAGTTCGAGTGGCGCTCACTCTCTTCCCCATGGTCACGTGCTGTTTTCCATGGTTTGGACACAACCGCCTAATATAATCAAAAGTTGTGGGTCATCAAAGGCACACACTCAATATTACAAAATAGAAAAAAAAAATGGTACCCATTTTTTGTGGCTTCTAAAAAGCTGCAAGAACGTTGATCGAAAAAAGAAAAAAACCAAGAAAAACTTGCATAGCCACGTGACTTTCGGCAACCCTCTCCTCCTCCACATTTCTTCCTCCTCAGTCCAGTTTCGGTTTTGAGCAGTTTTTTTATTTGATTTTATTAAAAATATATGTGACTCTGTAGCCAAGTATTGATCGGGTAGTCGTTAGACACCATGATAAACTGCCAAACAAGATATTACAATAATTTTTTTTTTTTTTTTTAGAAGGAGGGGGGGGGGGGGGGGGGGGGTGTCAGTGTCTTTTTAAAGCTGGAAACTCTACACTATCTTGTCATACTTGACACAAATGTTTTTCTACCAGTGATTAATTCAGTGCCTCTGTTTTTTCTAGGATGTCATACTTTCCTTTCAAAGCCCCTGCAGAGTGCACTGACGGGCGCTTTGAAGGCTGGACAACTGTCAGACTGCCCTTCAACTTTGCCAGCAATGCGGAATTCTTCGTGGCCACGGGTGTTCTGTCATTTCTCTACTGCGTGGGCATTCTGGGAATCTACCTGTTCTCCAATAAGATGTATATTGAGAACCAGACTGTGCCTATCATTGTGAGTTTCCCTCTTCTCTGTCAGCAGAATTCTAGGGGCGTCCCCAGTTGTCACTGCACAGGGCGTTTTTTTTTTTTTTTTGTAGTCTTTTTGCAGCAGTGTTAATTATGCAACTGGTTGTTTTCTCCCTGATCAGGGGACAGTCAATTGGGAAGCATAGGAACATTTGTCCGCAATATACTATACTCCGTTGCAACCTAAGAACGAAGGGCGAGGGTAAGGCGGGCCGGGGAGGAGGAAGCAGACGGAATGCTAAAGAGAGAAGGAAGTTTCCCCCTCTCTTCTCCAGTGTTCCGTCTGCTTCCTCCTCCCCGGCCCGTCTTACCCTTGCCCTTCGTTCTTAGGTTGCAACGGACTATAGAAGGTAAACATTCGGCAGCCCCCTGCCTGGTTAGGAATAAGCATGAAGCGAAAAATATACTACTTTGATTATATTATCGTTGAAATATAAAGTCCAACCTTCCTTGATTGGCATAGCAGGCGGTAGAATGGCACGCAGGCTTTCATAAGTAACGTGCATTAAAAAAAATGAGAAACTATCAAATCAAGTTCTTTTTTTTAACTTATGCATCTGTATTAAAATTGTAATTACTGTCGTTGAAGCTTAAGCAAGTTGATACATACTTGAGAATTAAAACAGCTTAAAGGATAAGAGAGTGAGACAGGAACATACTCTTTGTGTCTCTCTTCGTCCAATCTCCCGTCCTTTGCACTGTTTTGATTCCCAAGTTTGATTACTATTACATGCAGTTTGCAGTGGTGCTTAAAGAGTTCCTGTTTAAACAAAGTTGTTCTGAACCTATCCGAAACCTATTTTCGAGCAAGTTTTGCCCACTCGCTCGCCATTACATGGTCTCAAAATGTTGGTGCCTCAGCTTGGCGATGTGAATGCTTAGATTCTAATTTGAGGTTCTGAAGCCATGCTGCAAAAAGGCACCACTTATGCAGGTGTTGCTTTGCCATAGTGCACACACTTTGTCAGAGCACCACACTTAACGGAGCTCAAACATTTGTTTTTATAATTATTTGAAAAATGTATGTATTTTTTCCAATCCTACCAGATCTCAATGATGGGACCAAATCTTTTGACATTAAAAGTTAGATTATTTGCTCGTGTCTACAAAGATGGTATTTGGGTATATTTAGGCCTGTGCACCACAGATTTTGCCGCTAACAGCGCCTTAGGTCTCAAGGATGTGAAGGCTGGTTCACACACTTGAGACTGCTTATGACCAAGTGTGTTAGAATCTCTTGTGCTCTCCGACAACGAGAGAGAACACTGCGTCAGCTATCGGTTAACTGTGGAACACCAGTGATTTCTGTATATTTCCTAGTTCCTTTGCACATTCTTCCTTCTTTTGGCTTTGAAATTTTTTGGCAAGGTTATAAACCAAGGTTCGGCAACCTTTTGCTGCGGTAGGCCAAATTATCGCAAAGGGGAGACGGAACGGGCCGGACAGAGAGACTGCGATTGGGGAGAGATTAATTTCTAGAAACTAAAGATTAAAAAAAATATATATATATTGTCACATATTTAAAGCGTTATGCAAAGATGTTCAGGATGCGAACATTAACATTAAAACTCTTACCTGAAAGACGTGAAACATTTTGGGGGTGCTCGTCTGTCATTCATAAAACCCACATTTGGCTTCACAGCCTTCATCTTTAAAAGGTTACGTTCGCAGATACGCACATGCTGTAGCGGACGCTTCGACTGAGGCCACTCCTAGATTTCAAAAATTTGAGAGCTTTAATTCGGGGAGGCCGGAGGAAAACTTGACGAAGTCGTTTGCTGCAAATGCACTCTTCAGTTTATCCTTTGTTTAGGGACCACCTGGTCAGCAAACTTTACGTGCAAATCTCTCGAACTTGTTCGGAGTTAATATGTCCGATTATACTTGGTTTGCAACCAAACATACCCTTGTCCTCGATTGTGGTATGAGGGGGAGGAGCTGTGTAATATTGGCTCGCAGGCTGGATGCGCCCGGAGGGCTGCCATTTGCTAGCCCCAGTTATAAACTACCATTTCTCGAAGTATGTACATTTGATCTTTTAAATTTTGCAAAAACATTGCTCTACTGAAATGCAGTTCCAGGATCACCTAGTAGATGGCACCAGCGAGCCAGTGTATGGCCTCGTCTTAAGGTATTGCAAGAACTCGTTTGTAAGCAAATGCAAGTGTGTGAACCAGCCTTAACGCCGCAACGTGAGGTTTCCTGGTTGATTCCCAGCAATGGCTGTCTTCCCTGTGGTTGCAGGACCTTGGGTTGTCTGCTCTTCTGGCCCTCTTCTGGTTTGCCGGCTCCTCTGCTTGGGCACAAGGCAAAAGTGACGTGAAGTACTACACCAGTCTCCCAAACTTCAGAAACTTTGTCGATGTCTGCAAAGATCGTCGCGCATTGTGCGAACCTGAAACAACCGCAAGTTTTGCCACCCTCAACGTTTCGCTCGTAAGTTTGGGCCAGTGCGGACATTATTTGTTTATTTATTTACGAAAGTCACGTTCGAGGCATTATAGCAGGTGCAACCTGGTATTACCTACTAGCAAAAAAAGCAACAACAAAAAAAAAAAAATGGTTTATGGAGCAGGTAACAAATCTGTAAAGGCTGTTAATTACAGCAAAATCAAGTTAGAAAACAGACAAGTTAAACATCAAAATCGCTTCCTGAGAGAAGCAATACTATGTTCATACTTCTAATGGTGGGCTTGGGCAAGTAGTTCCCCTGGATGATTGGTTGATTGGTGCATGCGTTTACCCCTGTGTGTGATTTTGTTTCTTGCTTATTGCTGATCACCATAAAATCTTTTGTTACTGAGCTGTGCATAAAGATGTCTCTCATGTTGCACAAAATGAAACTTTGGAACTTGAAATAACGAGGGTGTAGCTCTAAATTTCATATTTATGATTTTTTTTAAATATAACAAAGCGAATGTTTGTCTTTCCTTTATTCAACGGTGCCATAGTTATTAGAAGTAACTAAGTTTGGGGGCAGACAGATTAAACTGTTACCTTTTTTATATGAAATAAATACTAGGTGGTCTCATTTCAATTTGGACAAGCTTGTCAGGTGGGGTTCTTTAGATTTGCTTGAAAAAAAATATATATGGTAGCTCAATCCCCTGAGATGAACAGAACTGAATTGGAGGTAAGCTTCCTGAGAAAAGAAAAAACGACAAACTTGCAGCCCATTTAGGTCATACTTAACAAAACCCTTACGCGTAATGTGTTATAAGGTAGTTAATGTTGGTGCGATGACTGTGTTTACACGGGTTGTATCATGTGACATGACGCAGTCACGTGACCGTGGTGACTACACTTCCGTGTAGCCTTTCCGATAACATATTCTGTGATGAATTCACTAACAGCGCTAATATACTTTTACGTAGCAGGTACTATAATGCACCATTTCCCCGAGGAAACAGTGGGCTTATCTATAAAGCAGGAATTGAGAAATTCATTTTAGCTGCTTGTTTTTAATTTTACATACCGTATAAACTCGTGTAAGGGCCACACTATGTCTTCCCGATTTGAGGGCCAATTTTCGAGGTGCGGCCCATACACTGATTAAAAGAAAATATCTGTATCCACATTCCTAAATAAACGTACATGAGCGCGCTCGGCTGCACTGGTCGCAAAAGTCTTCATTCCGGAATCCGGACTTAATTGTCAGTTGGATTTAATTAGCTTACATACTGCGCAGTACGTTTTTTTTTTTTTTTTTTTTTTTTTTTTTTGCCGTATTTGATAGCATGCGCGGCAACTTTTGGCTTGAATCCGGTATGACTGTTGTAGTGGTACTTGCCCATAGCTCTCAAATTGCATGAAAAGGCAGACAAATCACAACGCTTTGACACGAATCGAAGAAGAAAAGGAAACCTCCCCAGAGCATACAGTGGCGTTCAGAAACCTGAGTGTATGCGCGAGTCGAGCCCGCTGAATCCCCATTCCTCGCGCTTGCCACAGAACCCGACATATCCTTTATCTTTCCTCAATGCCTTGCCTCGACATAAATGCATCCCGACAGTGCGGCCAACCATGATCGAGGTCGACAGCCATTATGCCATATGGTGATACGGATGAGTCGAAAGCAGAGCCGTATATGTAGAGAGTTTGGCCATTCCTTGGGAAGTATAGGAGAGAAATGAGGAGGCGCCCGCCATTGGCCGAAAGCGGGCTGGGCGTGTTCCAGGGCGTCTTCAGAAATTTGAATGTGACCAACCAGAAGCCGGAAATGATGCCTTGGGAGTGGTCGCGAGAAACAAACCTGATAAGTGCATCGGAGTAACACTCGGTGACTGAAAATATGGTACACGTGATGTTTCAATCACGCTCATCCAAAATGATGGTGGAAGAGTGCGACTAGTGGAACAATCTAAATAATTCTTGCGCCGAGGGCGTTGAATCTGCCGTCCGAGCGGTCACACACTGTCCGAGCAAAACAGAGTTGAGCGGCGCATTCGTTTCTTACATCTTTCCGAATGATCATGATCGAAACATCACGTGCACCCTATTCTCAACCATAAAGAGTAACTACACTTCACTCTTACGCGCTTATTAAAATTATATACGAACCTATACCTTTGATCAGAACTGTTTCTCGCTACCACCGCTAGGGGATTCTTTTCGGCTTCTGGTTGGTCAAGAGACCATGCCAAGCCCACTTTCAGAGTCTGGTGCCCACCCTGGCGCCAGACTCCCATTGACCAAACTCTCTGTATACACTGCTCTGGTGGAAAGCAAATATCAAGGATGCAAACACGTGCCGCTACGTGCTCGGGCGGTGGATAGCGCCATTTGGCAATGTATATTCATAGAAACATGGCATTACTGTCGGCGCGCCTCAAAAACAAGGGGGTGCGGCGCGTACGCGAATATTTTCTGCGATTTTTTTTGCACTACTTTGTCCTAAATACGGGGATGCGGCCCTTACACGGGTGCGGCCCTTACGAACGATTATACGGTACGTTTGTACTACCTATGCAGAGATTGAGGTACAGTAGGGTGCACAGTAACGTTGGCATGTCTTCTATTACAACTGTGCTTAAAGCGAGTGGGCAATATTTTGGGAAAGCATTCATTCTGGACCTTCTTTTGGTGATCTGTTAATGAGAAAGTTAATCAACTTGTTTGGCCTACCACCTAAAGGGGTTAGGAAATGCCAAAACTAAAATATGAGATAACTAGTTATACTGCTAGAACCCATTGTATGTGCCTATACTCCCGCTAAATTTTAGATTATGGCGCGATAGTTTTGTAGATAAGTTGATTTATATGTGGGACCCTTGGAACTGCCCTATTCGAAAATGCTGCATGCTTGTTTGGTCAGTGACGTCATTACTCACTTTGTCGGAGTCTTCGACATTAGTCGCAGCGGTGATGAGTGATGTTATAAAAAAAGATGTTGGAAACCGGTCATTTTGACTTCGACCGACTCGCGACCAGCTCCAGCGATGACGAGATCGTCACGGACAAACTCGTCGTCGCCCCCGACGCATGTGCATGCAGGGCGGAAGAAGAATGGGCAAGGGGATGAGAGCGAGAGTATAGATTAGAGCAGTGGTCGGCAACCTTTCGGCGCGGTGGGCCGAGTCGCCGTGAAGCTAAGGTGGAACGGGCCGGACGGCAAGCTGAGGGGGGGGGGGGGGGCGGTTAAAATTAAAAAAAAAAAAGAAAACTTGCACGAACTCACACTGACGTGCATAAATCGAAAATGAACAGTTTCTTTATTTCACGACACACGACATGCGATACATTTCCACGAAAACCTAGAGACTCTTTTCAGTGAGACTTCTGATGTAGAACTGCGCTCGACAAACTACGGACATCCACATTCAAGCTATTAACTGTGAGTCGCAAAACATTGTGGAGGTTCTCATCAGTCATTCGTGAAGGCAGGCGACAAGCAGCGAATTAAAAAAAATTTTATTTTTTTTTTATTTTTTAGCTGAGTGCGGGGAGGGGGGGGAGAGGGGGGGGGGGGGGGGGCGCTGCATGATACTGCCTCGCGGGCCGGATCCGGCCCGCGGGCCGCTGGTTGCCGACCACTGGATTAGAGTAACGAGAGTGTGTGCGATCGTACCGTGGCGAGGAGAGCTGGGCCAGCATGGGGGCGCCTAGAATGAGAGAGCGTTCAACTAGATTATCACATGGTTTATGGGCACCATGGTGTGACTAACTTGAGCAGTGTTGCCTGTTTGTCAGACAAAAATGATCCACATTCATAAATCGATTATTGCAATTACTAGAGCTGTAAAAATCGCGAAAATTTGATTTAAAAAACGGTCTACCTGTTTAATTTTCGTGGCCCTAACCCCTTTAAGTACAGTTTTCAGGCATTTATCCGGGCTTCTGTTGTTCGGAAAACCCAAATACAAGGCTGTTTCTGCTTTTCTTGTGTTTCAAGCTTTTGGTCTACGTTGGTTTAAAGTTTAGACCTGCTAAACTGATTGGTGGTGCAGGTTGAGAGACACACATTTATTTCCTTTATTTTTTGCTTACACTAGAAGTTTGTAATCTGCCTTCAGAGATGGTTTGACCAGTCTGCTCTCCCGTTCCACGCAGATCTTGGGCTTCTTCAATGTCCTCCTCTGGGTGGCCGGCTGCTGGTTCGTCTTCAAGGAGACCTCCTTCCACGCCCAGCGCCAGCCTCCTCCTGTCGGGGGCGGCGGGGTGCCCCCGTTCCCCCAGTCGAACGCACAGTACCCCCCCCAGTCACCTCCCCCCATCCAAAGCCCCACCTTCGGAACCCAGTACTGAGCCCCAGCCTGTCAAGTTTCCGACGACGACCAGTGGAGTAGCCCTTCTTTTGGGGTAGCCCCTCTCTGGCGTTTGCATCCGAGGTCACGAATTCCATCTTGTTTCATGCGAAGACGAGACCCTTGGTCTCCTTCCTCTCATGTGTCTCCCGCAGTAGACTCTATCCATTTTCGGTGCCGCTTGCCACTGATATACTATATGATAGAGGCGTGCGAACGGTAGCTCAGATTGAATGGTGCGGCGTCGTTCGTGGCCACCATGGCGGAAGAGTACAGCATGTCGTCTGGGCTCTCTTTGCTAGGAATGACGCAGCTGTTGTGTTTGATTCTATCGTTCGCACGCACCTAACCTTTGAGTCTCTATAAAGCTGGCTGTCTATCGTGGCTCTTGTGGCCCTGTGGTAGTGGCTACCACGTGCAAGAAACTGTTCAAGCTAGACCCATGGGCAACTAACTGTGGTGTTTAGAAGATGTGAAGGGTACTCGGGCATAGCTTTGATTGGCACTCAAGGTGCTCGAGCGCCTGTGTGCCCATAGCCTTGCCTGCATTGCCGCAATGTTGTCCACGAGCATAGTTGGACATGCATTTTGGCCACTGCAACGGGCACCACAAGTGCCCGCAGCAAGCCGTCATCTTGTTGCAATTTTTTTATGTTCGTTGACTCGGGTGATTTGAGGTTTTTTGGTACGTGCTAAGAAATTAATGAAGTCTATAAAAAGAATGAGTTAAAAATGTTGATTTCTTTTGTGGCCCAATTTGTTTTGTTAGAGTTTTGACTGTGTAGACAAGCTCCACAGTGCAATGTTTCCTACAAGCATTTGGGTAGTGGAGAATTCAGGAAAGCTATCACCCACCGTGAAGACAACCTAGGCTGATTGGTGAATAGGCGGCACGTGTTGCAAGGCAAAATGGGGAACAGTTGAGATGAAACTTGTCGAGATGGCTGGCACTGCAAAGATAGTTTGTTGCATATTTTCGCTGCAAAATATTTAAGAAAGGAAGAGCATTTTGTTTTTACCTAGTGGTATCGAATATTGAATAATTTGGTATCATTGTTTTGGGTTTCGAGCTTGGGACAGCTGATGTTTTGCTCAGCCAGCGAATTGGTGAAAGCCACCTGGCCCAAATCATCCGAGAGTTCTGTTCGTGATGTCGTCTGTTTTAGTGGTGACCTGAATTGCAGGGTGTTGCGCATCATGCATGTGCGCTCTGAAGAAAACGAGTGTTTGAAGCTTTGAAAGTCTAACCACGAGTTAATGCCTGTGGTTGGCTAATGTTTCGTGAAGGCCGTTTTGCTCTTCATTGCACTTACCCGTTACTCTAGAAATTTCATTACGATGGATTCTTCTGCAACATGATTTCATGTATTGATCATACATGTTCTGCCCATGCAGGAGGCAGCAAGTACTATCATTGTCTTCTATATTTCATAGAATGTAACAGTTCATTTTCTGAGATTGTTTTTTTGTTATGGAGTTGCTTAGGGGTCAGCAACCTTTCGTCAGCAAAGGTCAAAGGCAATGATCTGGGACTCCACAAAAGTTGTTAGAAGTTTGATTTGTGAATTGGAGCACAAGCAGAGTTGCCTACGTTCACCATTGCTTGTCTTCTCAAACAAATGTTTTGGTCAGGATTTGATTGCCAGAGCCTTGAGATCAGGGCTGCTTCCTATGTGAACACATAAAGGAAGGAAAATGTCACTAATCTCTGCCAAAAGGATCTTCAGTTAAAGATCACAAAGGAACCTGATCGATCTCTCAAACTGTGCGTTGCTGTCTTTTATGCTGAACCTTTTTTGTTTTCTAACAAAGCTTTATGAAAATAATGTGTCAGGAATTGCTTATTGGTTGGAATTTAAGCCTGGGTTGTGGTTTTTCTTCTAGTGCAGTTTATCTCCACAGCGAGTTCTTATTTTGAACAAACGCATAACATGACCTTTCGTAGGACAAGCTTATTTATTTTTGTTTTCTTATGGTTGTCCATTACTTGTAAAATGTTACTAGTTCCTCATGAATTACATACATATATAAATGGTTGTGCTATTTAAAGGTTTTTTTCAACTGGGCCCATGCGGGAAACATTGTGTCACTTTTATCGCAGTATGTTTTTAAGTACTTAAATGTTTTCACTAGAGGGCACATGCTCTTTGTTTGGAAAAGTTATTGTACAATGGACCTGTAACATTTTCAAGGTAATATTCTTTCAAAAGTGCAACAATTTACAAGTGCCCATTCTTCTTTTAGGGTCTTTTTGGCCTTACTTGGTGTTTTATTGTTGAATATACTAGGTATGTTATTACTTTTTTCTGGCTTTTAGAAAGAGCCACTTCGATAGACTTGATTTCATGTTGTTTCTCGACAGGCCCTTTTCAAAAGTAAGTCTGACCATCCAGATCAAGTGTGAACCCCTCTCTCTAGCAATGGCTTGAACTTTGCGCCACCCGAAATATTGAAGGTCTATGAAAGCTTAGAGCAACAACTTAAGCTTTTCTGTGAGTTTTTCTGGATATCTACACATTTTTGGGGAAAGCTAGATGTACTACAGAGCATCACTAAGAGTATTTTCAGAGATACTACAAGCAACAAATGCAGTTTCTACTGCCTAACCAAAGCAAAGAACAGCAGTGGCGCTCCTCCCTCGAGACCATGGGAACATTCACTCCGAGATTAGCAGAAGAGCTGAAATAATCTTCTTCATTGTTCAGCATCAACGTGGTAGAGGTGTGAAAAATGGATCCCCTCAAAGAGGTGCATGTGCACTGCCTTCGATTCACAAAATGAAAGTGCCCATTTTTTGCAAAACTGGGTATTCAGCCATTGTTACAGGGGCGTCTTGGTTCCTCACTGGACAGCACTCGCCCTTGAAAACGGCCTATTCACCTACTTAGTCGAGTGATATTAACCCAGGAAGTTTACTATATAGCATATTTAAGGTATGGTACCTCGGAAGTTTTCGTTTTTTGTCTACCTACAAGGCCCGCCAACCTAAAAAAAAGCAAGTTCCAATTTGTGCGTAATTCTACTAACCTGTTTTTTACACAATACATAGTTTGAGAATATTATAATTGGGCAGAACCTAGGCTCTGGTCGCATTTTTTATTGTAATATTTTGGGCGTGCTATCAGGCTTCGTTTCAATGACAACATTCCACTTCATGCAGGTTGCACGTGCAGCGAATGTTCGTTTGAGTGAAGTTTGGTCGTGAAACGTTTAATGCACTAGTCAAACGTAGTGTGGAGTAAACACTGTAAGGAATTTTGTGTGAAACCTTGAACGAAAGCGACCAACTGCTAGTTTTTGCAGGCATTCTTCAGCCCGCAACTTCCACGGGCTGCCCAAATGTGTATTTATCCGCTCAAACTTAAGCTTTTCTTCTTTTTTTTAACAACGCCAAGCTGTTGGGTTGAAAAGCAGCAGCTATGCATGGTAACCCAATAACGAAATGGCAGCTGGCACGGTGTGGGATGTTCTCTGCACCTCTGGACGGGAAAAGTTGGAAAAAAAAAAAACAAAAAAAACCAAGACAGCCATTGTTACTCCTAGCAAAGTATATTCCATGTCTTGTGCCTGTCTCCGAGGGGGAACACCAAATCCCGACGTCTGGACAGATACAAATGTCAGACAGACCCCCTTTTTTCTCGAAGTTTCAGAATGCGTTGCATTATGCAAACAAACGAAAAACGGTGATCTCGTCCTTAATATTTTCAATGCGTTTACTTCGTAGGTTTCCTATCGTTCGGCACAATTGTGACTGTCGCATTCCTGCATGAGGTTTGGCTCATTTACCTTGTTCTCTGGTTGTGTTCTGAAGTTTGGACTGTTTTTTTTTTCTTTTTATGTGCGACATTTTTGATTTACATGTGTTGGTTTATATTAATTGATTCTTTTATTTTTTTTTGTGAAGTGCTGGTAGCTATATTGCAGTGCAACATTTTAGCATTCTAGCTCCCTGTGTACCACGTTTGCTTTGCCTCAGTGCACATTAAATATAAAAGAGAGCATTTCCACGCTGTAGGGGTAGCTTCTTTTTTGCCATAGTGCTCCAACACTAAAGCAGCTGTGGTGCTTACTTTGTGTGTTCTTAGCACAGTGCGCATCTGGTGCCATTCTTTGAGCACTGCACTACACCTCTGTGGGCAGACTAGGCTGTTCGGTTAGTTGCACGTACTTGGGGGACGACGGCCAGCAATAAACAATGGCAACTATACGGCCTCTGTATTTAAAATAATGGAAGGCTCTTGGTGGTGTGCACCTCAGCTTTGTGTTGGTTTGACTGTTTGCATGACATGCAAAACTGCTTCTTGGTTCCTTTGTGGACAAATTATTTTTTTTTGTGGTATCGACCGATATTGGCCTGCAATACACGTGGGTGCGGTTCTCACTCGCCCATGATTTGTGGTACTAGTTGATTTCATCTGGCAGATGCTGTTAATATTTGGCTTTTTGTGTCTTTGTAGTTTACATATCTTGCTCTCCGATACTTGGAACTTGATGTACCAAGCACCAGTTCAGAAGGAGCAACAGCGCCTTCGGGAATCCTGTACAAAGCGAAGTTGCAACTGTGAATTTAGTTCATAAACTAAATAAAATGGAGCAGAAAAGTAAGACCAGTGATTTTGCAGTTTTTGCTAGTCACTTGCAATGCAGTCTTCTTAGTTTCACACTTGCCTAGTATTTCAACAGCCATTCAGTACAAAAGGCATCCTCCAAACAAACCTATTACCGACTGTGGATTCATCTTACCCAGCTGAAGTAATTTCCTTAAAGTGAGCCTTCCAATATTAAAAGCGTGCAACACTTTTCTGTGGTAATATTTTTGTGAGCCACCAAACTTAAACTTGAGGCCACACAGGTTGGGTCTGAGTGTTCCTTTAACTTGTGTGCACCATGGGTTTCTGTTGGTGCATTATTTTGGAGAATTTGAAGGACAGGTAAGAATACAATCCCCAAACATGAATGTAGTTGTATCTGCTCTGCAGTGTTACCCACATTGAGTGCTGTGTAATAGCTTGTTACAGTGGTAGTTCGAAAGATTACCATTTGGTGATTTAGGTGTAATATGTCCCTAGAGTGCATTCCACTTAAACAAAATAACGAAAACACCCTGTTAGACAAAGCACACAAAGGTTATTGCTGTGTAGGATGTGGTGTAATGTTGTTGTGCAAGTCCAAGGTGTCTGGAGTGAGTGAATCTAGTGACTGTTTTACTGCTCCGCTAAACTGGGTGTTTCTGGAAGGCAAGCTTTCAATTGCTGACAACTATTCTAAGTCTGAAAAATCTATAATTACTCTAGTGCCATAGCTGAGTACAGGTATTAGTGTACAGCCTAACAGCCATTCTAAAAATGTGTGTGTGCGTGCGTGCTCGGAGTCGTGTTTGTTGTTGACCATTCACATCTGTTTTTAATGCTAGGTTCAGGGCAGAGGAAAATAGCAGAAGCACACTAGAAGAATGGGTGTGCCGTGAAAAGCCCGCAGTACGCAGTTTTAAAGCGTAGTAGGCATGTTACTTGAAAGCATTAGTTAGAGGTACGTTACGTAATGCCAGTTTTCACACTGAGTGCAGCATCATTATGGAATTCCTTGTGATTATCATTCGCTAGGTTCAATTCATACGGTGACAGTGTTTGTCTCCGAGACACTCGAGTGAATGCTGGTTTGAGTGCTGCCTTGTGTTCACCCTAACATACTTCATTCTGTTATATAATGTTGGTATGTACCTTTCTGTCCTCCTTAGTTTGTCTACCGTATCCCCCACTCACAAGTGTGTGTGTGTGTGTGAACAAAACGGAGGACATTGTCACCAAGATGCACTGCCAGTTTTCCCACTTTAAATTGATTGTACAGTTGTCCTTTTGGCAGGATGCCAGCAGTCACTGCGTATCCATCTAGACAAAATGTGAACCAGCAGCGAACAGCTCTCATTCCGCAGGCAACCAATTACAGCTGACCAGTTTGACATCAAAGTCCTTGTGTGCTTCCATTAAGCCGTACCTAAACCCGTTTATTTTGGTAGCATTTGCTCATTTCTGCTCGCACCTGTTGCGAAGCAGGAACAGCCTGAAACTTTTGTAGCCCTACTTGTAAGGACCATTCCTCCTCGATCAAGCCCTGCTTTGGTGCTATACGTTGCTGGTTAATTGGATGCAGTAGTATGCGCGATTTGTTGCTGCTCATCGAGGAACTGAGGTTGCATATCTCGAGATAAAGATTGCATCATAGTTCTCTGGCCCTCCTCCAAAGTTTTGTTACTTACCTGCATTTTATGTGAATGGCAATCCAAACCAACTTCGAACTTCATGGCATTTTTTTTAAATGCATGCATTGGGGTGTGTCTTAGATGGGTGGGACTTGCGTATGCCACTTATGTTGTGAGACTTCAGTGTGTGACCTGTGTATGGGACTGTTTCATCAAAGGAACCTGTTACTGTTGATACTCTTAACAGAAAGTGTACATAGTATACCTACATAAATGTATAAGAGAATATATTACTGGAAATAAAGTTCAAAATGTGGACCAACTTCTGTTTGTTTCAGGAGTGCGGATAAGTGCTGGGTTTTTCAAAGACTACACTAAAACAAACAGTATTTTTTGCCCAAGACGGAACATAACCCAAGCTGAAATGGGCTTATTTGATGTTGAATCTGAGCTTAAACCAAAATGCAGAAGTATGAGCTCTATTTGAGCTTGCTACTCTTTTGCCCCAGCACGGGACACTCTGTAATACCTGCTTTCGTGTGCACGCAAAAACAAAGAATCTTGCTGTATAATATACAGAGCAGTTCTTAATCTAGTATGCTTATTAAAACAAATGCGCCACTAAGACATCGTCTTCACTGATATTTGACCAGGTACAACAGATCTTTAGTGGTAGCATAGATGTCGCAATCAGATCACTGTATTGCTAATTAACTTCTTTTATCCACTATTAGTTTGAGGGTTCATGTTGCACTTTAAAGTGTGCTATGCACTACTAGTTCAGGCCAGACCGACTTCAACAATTGCCAAAAGGTTTGGTGATCAAGGATATTAATTAATCACTTTTCTTTCAAGCCACCCAATGTTAAAACGACCTATGTAAACATTTAAAAAAATTGCGAGCTACAAGGGATGTCAGAGATGGCAATATTTTGAAGTTTCTTATTCACCAATTGCCTTTAGTGGCACATAAAACAAATTTATACAGGTGACTGTGTCAACACAAATCTAAAAATGCATACAAAAGAAGGGTTTCATGGACAGGGCAAAACACCCTGTAAAAGCTCCTCATTTGGATAAGAAACATTTATGACTGTATGATCCTACACCAGCCTGAAAATGCAAAAAGGTTTTTAATAAATATAATAAGGTCTGTTGAGCCTTTTAAATATAATAAGGTCAGCGGTTGAGAAATTACTGCGAAAGACACTCCCGCAACACACCTCTGAATGCTTAGCAGCTAGTTGTTGCTTGAAGCCGGTGTCCTTTGCTTCGATTTGGCGGGGTTCACCCACTGGAAGAACTCGCAGCTCGCATTCACGTCCCCAGACTTTCCCGTCGGACGTGCGCACACGAAAAACTGACGTCCCAGATTTGGTCCTGGCTTTTTGACGGTCCTCAGAACGCACTGCTCGCCGTGGCCCTTGCAAGGAGGAGGAACAGGCGGACCCTTAAGTAGAGACTTCCACGCGCACGCAACGTCCACGGCTCTTTTTGGAGCGGGCTCTGGAGCACCACTGACATTTGTTCCCGAATTGACCATTGGCAGGCCACAGTCACCCAGTTTGGCTTGTCCGTGGCTTGACCGGCTCGACTGTTTCGAGACGCCGACGTCTGTCTTGTTCGACGACACAAAGAAGCGGTTCAGAGTCGACTGCGCAGTCTTGTGGCTTTTGTCCGTGGTCCGAGCGGGCACGTTCTTCGATTTCTTCACCGGCGGACCTCCGTTTCGCAGTTCGACAGATACTGCGCAACTGTCCTCCCATTCTTCGCTCGATTGCGGACGGCAGTCTCTCTCGGCTTCTTCCTGGTCGCCGGGCTTCTTGCTCAGGAATGCGGAGAGTCTCTGCTGACGTCCCGCAAACTCGGGCCAGAACTTCGTGGCCATGGATGGGCACCGTGGCGAGGGGACGCCGTCGCAGCGAAAGACCGCCTCGACGGGGCAGTGATCCGAGCCCAAGACGTGAGGCAGGATGTCGGCGGTTTGCAGGAATGGGACGAGGGCTGAGCTGCAAAAGACGTAGTCGATGCGAGTCCCATAGTTCGTCTGCCGTGCACCCAATCGCGTGTTCCAGCACGTGAACGCTTTTTCCGTCGTGGGGTGCAGGTGTCGGTACGTGTCGTGGAAACACGAATTCTGTCCAGGTCTTCCTGCTGAAGAGAGAAGTACAGATGACATAGGATCGTGCATCGGTGTTTTATCACAACGTGTGTGAAAGGAATTCTACTGTACATGGGCAAACTAGCGTGCAGTATTAATAAGCCAGGAGCTTAATCTTTGCTTTGTGATTTAGAAGCAGACTTTCTTTCCGTTTCTCCTTTCGAAAGGACGGCAACATGTTAGGGTTGCAGCGATCCATAGTGAAGGCAGCTAAATGGGGCTCATGAATTAGACTCGGATAGAGTTAGCACATCGACAGACATTCGGGTCCGGGCTTCTGCATAATCATTACAGTGGAAAAAATAGCTAAAATGTAAAAATGCTGAGGGTACAGCAGGTGGCCCGTGCATTGTCGGTCCAAACACATGGCTAACAACATCCAGCTTCAACAAACACCAATTCATGTGGCCACTTTTTTTTTATAGCTGACTGCAAGTAAAACCTTTAGTTCTCAAACACATTATGAAAAATATTGCATCAATAATGCACCTATGTTCTCATCTTCAGTGACTGTCGTGCTGTTTTCCAGGAACTGACTCAGCCATATTCGACCAGGGTTAGAATCAAAGTCCTGCAGAAACAACAATGCAGTTTTCATTACAGAGGGAAGCACACTCCTGATAAAATTTCTAGGGCATAAATATCAAAAGAAAATTATTGATACCTCGTCATCCGAAGGATCGCAGTGGTCAATCTTGCGATGGGAAGTGTTCAAGTCGCCCAAAATGATCACTTCTCTGTTGCAAAGTTAAAAAATAACAAAAAAGGATTTGGTCATCCAGTTGAGAGGGTGCTGCTGATTACGAAAGGCATGACATAAAGAGAAAAAAGTAAGAGTGACACTCACATTCCATTTCTGAGCAAGGTCGTGGCTCGGCGCTTTAGCAGCTCGTAGAAATCCAATTTTATTTGACCTCGCTCGGGCTTTTCAGGGTCGGCACGAGGGCAGTACACATTTATGACTGCAATTCTTTTTACTTTGTCACCGCACCTATACATGTGAAAAAAAAAACAAAAAAAAAACAACAAAAGTTGAGAAACATGGACGACTTGTTTTCTGGATATTTAAACTGTTCCGCCATCACTGTCACACAAAGATATCCTTTACTTGAGCCTAGATGTAGTTTGTTCATACGACTCAGTGAAATAGAATGAAAAGGCAGGAGTTTGTAGTCATGACAACAATTCACATGTAGATAGCCACAGATCGAAACAAAACTGCAAGAAACAAATTGCATCAATGTGTTTTAGAGCAATTTTCAATACCTGACAGAATCCACCCTTTAGTCTGGGTAAGGGTGACAGCTACAAAATTATTGACCACTTTTACCGATATAAGATTCAACACATTATATCCTCTGCTTCTGAGCATCTACTTACGCAAAGTTCAACAGCATCACTTCCACACGATTGCAATTGTCTCGGTAGGCAATAACTCACTAGATAAATGTGACATGATAACCTGTCTGGTCGTCATAGATGCCTTAATGTGACAATTTAATTTAAAAAACTATGTTACGGCACATACTTTGTTGGTGATTACTGAGGAGGGATTCAACACTATGCTGCACAAAGCATACCATCTCCATACTGAATCCACAATGGCCACGGCAATAATGGTTATGGCAGCCGAGGGGCCCCTTGTTGGTGGGAAGCAGTGTGGCATCCCATTCGAGGCAATAATAGGGCTGCCAATATTGTGGCCTTCGAAACATTAACGAGCTATGCATATTGCCCAATACAAGCTGGTTGGCTCGAACGCTGCTTCAAGACGGAACACTATGAAGCACCATTGTAGACTACACCATCGCACTGAGATGTAGAAATAAGGCAAGAACCTAAATTCGCGAATCGCGACTACTCTAAGCACCACTGAGCTGTACAGGAAAGGGCGCCAGGATGGTGTTCCACACAGAGCGACGCTATACGCACGACCTCATACACCTCGGCCGGAAATGGCTATACGCACGACGCGGAAAGCTCGTGGCACCTAGTTCATTTAGTGGCGGATTTTGGCCCCCTATCGTCCTGCGACATTTTAGTCGACAACATCTTTGTTCTTTACAATTTTAGCTGTTAAAAGAAAGAAAAAAAGTTGTCAACACCGCCAAATTTTTGACAAAAAAAGTATGCCCGCCACCCTCTGGAATCGATCCTGGGTCTGCCACACGTGAACTGGCCAGATTACCACAGAGCTACACCACAGCTTTGGCAATCCGTTTTGACAATTTAATATACGGTATTTTTTTTACTAAATGCGCAATGAACTCTCGAGGCCGCCAAAAAGTAGGCGTGACTCACAACATGCCCTGCATGCGACGTCATGCTAGGGAAGAACGGACCCCACGTCATGCTGGTGATTTGACACCAAGGCATAGGATGCCGTTAACTGCCCGGACATGCGCTGTCATGCACCATATTTTCAACAGAGGTACCTAGTTTTTTCGTGTAAACTTAGAAAAATGTGCCAAGCTTAAGATGATGGCGTTAAGCCAGTATGTGCGGAATTTTTCAGCATTGGTGCGATTGCACTATGAGCAAAGAGTTTCGATAAGGTGCCGACTAACTTTTGACAAAAAAAACTGTTGTGTCAAAAAAAAAAAAAAAAAGCTTCATTGCACGCCCCAAAATGTGATGAGCGGCTCTAGGAGCACCGTGTACTAGTAAAATTGTTCTGATTTTGCAAAATACTGGTAAACAACACAAGGCTACCGTCAGAACCTAATCCCTGAGACAAGGAAAAATAAAATGACAGAAAAGACGACTCTCCTTGCCTCAGGGTTTAGATTATGATGTTTCCTAACCAGCTTGCCTGCATACTTTTGCTCCTTGCGAAGGTTACCATGTCACGGACGGCACAAGCCGATGCCCTGGCAGTGTTGTCTCAGTGAGCATGCACATGAAGGCTGTTGCCGACCAATCGCAGTCTGGCTGGGCTCGTGGAACGACACTCTCGCCTGTACTTGGCAGGGAGCCCGGAGGTGCGCTCAAAGCATGAATGAGGCGTAATGAAGCGAAAGGCAAAGAAAGGGCATCTACATCATGAACGGGAGAAGCCAATGCAAAGGCGTGCACGAACGTAAACGGTAGAAAAGTGCCGCCGCTCGCCGCTATGAAGTGCGTCCCGCTCACTCGGTAATGCGTGGCCACATCCCTTCCCTGCGACTCATACTTGCCCCAACTTGACGGCTACTCTGTCGCGGGGCATGCTGACAAAACTATCGTCAGAATACGTAGCAGTTGCTACAGCCAAGCGCGGTGCAATTTACCATGGCTCTTGCCGAGAATGGCCGTCGACTCAACCACCAGCATGGCGATTGGTAGTGATGAGGTGAAACCATACCTCGGCAAAACTTACCCTCACCGACCAGGCGTAAGGTGAGGGTGAGTGAGTCCATAAGCCTCGAAAACTCGGGAGTTTGAGGTTGAGTGAGAGGCATGAGTTTGGTGAGGGGCACGAGTTCAGTGCCTTCATTGAGTTCGGTGAGGGGTGTGAGCTTATGAGGTTGGCGAGTGCATGAGTTCGGTATGGGGCGTGAGTTCAGTGAGTTCGATGAGGGGCACGAGTTCATGAGGTCAGCGAGTTTATGAGTTTAGCGAGGCATAGGTCCCAGGGGGGCCATAGGTTTGATGAAGGTTTGCGGGGTGACGTCGAGGAAGGGCTGGTCATGTGACTTCTCCGTACATTTTGGGAGAAGTTGAGTCGACGCTCGCTTTGCACTTTGCAATGGTGCTGTTAGCTCGTAAGGCTGGTCATCTAAGAGTGATGGGCAAGGAGGAAAGGTGCCTATTGATTTATCTGCACTCTTTGGCTCCAGCTCGCTTCGCAGCAGCTTGGTCTTTTGCTGCTGGTCACTGCTTCATGGTAAGATGACAAGAGAGGGGGCGTGACTCTCCTACTCGCCTCAGCCGCTCTTGCGTAGACTGCAAGGCATTGATATATGCGTCCCGTTTTGTTGTTTCGTGAAGAAGGCAAATGGGGGCTACGCCGGTACACCTGAAGGCAGGCATTGCTATTTCGAGTGCGCTCGTGCATGGTTGCTAATCCTGAAGCCAATATTAATATAAAAGCCGGCTGGGAACTTTTGCAATTTGCTTGTATACTTGCTTGTCCAGGTTGTAACCTGGAGTTCTGTAAAAAAAAAAGTATGCATGCACGTCTTCATGCTCGAGTACGCCCGAAACGCCAGACTTGTTTCGCAACTGGGTGCTACATTTCTTTGGTAGCATATAAAAGTCAATTCGATAGTGTATTGTCATAGAACAATTGTAGATGATAAGTTTTTAGATTACGTTCAAAGAGACACAAAAAAATCTTTTTACTTTCACTTGATATTGGCGATGACAAATTGATGTTCCTAACCTGCTATGTGACACCCCGTTAGTCGCTCAAGAGGGGGCCATAGTCGAAATACTCACGGCACCCGAAAACATTTCGCGTGCCGGAGAAAAAAAGCTTTTCTTACTAGCTCTAATAATATTTAGATATAAGTTATGATTCCTATATATTATTGTCTGTCAACCGGTACAGCTTGGCCTGGTGCACGTTTCAGTCGTTTACGAGCAGCGCTATGTGTTGTTGGCAACATGATTTATATTTATACGGTCAAATAACAGGGGGGACGAGGTAGCATCGAAACCTAAGTAATTAAAAAAAATATTTGACATGCGTGCATGTGTGGAAACAACCTTCCCCGCCCGAAGAAATTAAGTGCACAATTTTTGTATCTAACAAATCTAATCTTGAAGAATTGTAGACCGTCTAATTAAGCTGCATGACCGCACCCTTCCCCCTCCTCAAATGTAGCATGGGGATCCAAATTAGGCTATCAGTAGTTACAAGTGAAGTGATTTATATATCAAAGGTAAAAAAAAATTGCGCTTACATAGGCTGTTTATTCATTCAAATTAGTGAAGACAAATGAGGAATTACCATCCATCAAAAATTAATAAATGATTTTAATAGAAAACACAACTTTGTATATGTAGTGTGTAAATATTTGTATTCAGTATACTAGTGACAAGTTTGAACACAAGTACACATTGTCTGAGCAAGGCATCTGACACCAATCCATGAGTTTGGCGAGTTCATGAGTTTGTGGGCTCATGAGTGAGGACTTGAAGGTGAGTGCGGCACTGAGGGTGAGTGAGTTTTTACCGTTTTACTTTGAGCTAGCTGCGAGTGAGTGAGTTCAACTAAAAATGACAACCTCTGGTCGAAACTCCGGAGGTTTGGTTTCAAACTGTTTAGAAAGATTCCAAAACTTTTTGGACGAAATTTTGGTAGTTTCAAGGGTTCGGCAGTTTCGTCACAGCACCCACAAAACCTCTTAGTTTTGTGGGTGTTGCGAGTGTTTAAAGACTCTAAACCTTCACACAGATCGAAATTCGATCAGTTTTTTATCAGATTGCCTGCGGTGTGTGGCGGATCTTCGCAGGCCCTACGATCTCATGCTGACGCTTGCGGGCGCATCCACCCATCGAGCGCGTTCTTGATCCATACTCAAAGTGACGACCAAACTGACGGTAGGAGCCCAAAAAGCAAAGCTCTATAGTAGGTTGTGCTTGTCCAAGTGTTGAGAGCTCTGGGTGCAGTGTCTAAGCTTCCCAAACATTTCAGTCATGAATCACGGTCGACTTATCAGTGAATTCATTTCCACTCTGGAAACACGCAGCCAGTGGACTTCAGCGGAGCACTTTGAGTGAAAGATGCCTAACTGTGATGCACGACCAATAAACTTCTTTGGGTAAACAATGGATTAGTATCTTTCTGAAGAACTTGGAATAAGTTGCATAGCCACTGCAGCAGATAGTGACGGGAAATGAAGCAAACCTCGTTGATCTGTAATGTGCAAACGGCTTTAGCTTCACGAAGGTCTCGCTGCCCTTCGTTTGCAGCCTGTGCTGCTGTGAAAAATAGTAGCTTTGTGCCTCCTCTTGGAGACAAACGTAAGTACCAGCGCTGATGATACACTTATCAAGTCATGATACATATATACAGTACAGGAGGTTTCGGGCAGCCCGTGCGCATATTTTCAATTGCACAACACAGGTGTCGGAGACCTTCTGGCACAGTCACTTCCATCTGCGTTGTGTCAACATAAACCGCAACGTTCCTGGCACTTAGAATGAACACTGCGCATGTCGTCGAGCTAGTGATGTGATTTGTGATAATCTATAACCTCCCCGCTTTGTTTCGGTCACGTGACGATGTGAATATGGAAGTTGTGAAATCGAAATCATTTCGTGCTGTGTTGTCTTATGTGAACAAGCCAATTTTGCTAAATTAAGAATTTATATATAAAATATGAATTATTTAATATGGTTTATAAGATTGCTTTGTTTAAAATGTTGCAACGAACAGTAACCTGGTCTGGCTACCCTGGCAACGCTCCAAAGGGGGGGGGAGGGTTGTGTTAGAACAAAATTTATACACATTTTAAAAAAGAAGGGATGACGAAATTTTAGGCTCGGTGGCGCAAGCTGCCGCCCGTTACAAAGGGTATGGCAATTACCATTCATTTATCCTACCCAAAACCCACCAAGGCTCGGCCGTTTTTCCGAAACCTGTTTCGGAAAAAGTTTCGCCCCATCCCTAGAGGTTGGTTACCAGTGTTGACGTCATCATGTGTCGAAGGTGCAAATCATGTATGCACCGAGAAGCCGAAGGAAAGGAGGAGACGAGAGCATGCGAGGCCATCAGAACGCCGAGCTCTGGTTGGAATGATTAATGGGTAGACCTGAAGCTAGCTACCTTTGTCACCATTGCACTCGTTGAATGCGTTACAACGCGGAACGCCGGCTTCCCATACATGGTTCTCACATTTGAATGCGTTGGGCGAGTGCAGTGGAGAAAAAGGCAGCTAGCTTTAGGTCTACCCACTAATCATTCCAATCAGAGCTCGGCGTCCTGACGTTTTCGCGCTCTCTCTTCTCCTCCTCTCTCACTTTGTTGGCGCAGAGCCATTTCTTCTGCATAAGATCACCGCCTTCTATGGTACTCGGGAGTCATGTGAGCTACGATCGTGGACGCGCAGCCAAGCACTACTTAGTAGGTCAGAGTGTTTAAATTATTACCCGGCGTCGTCACTCTTGCGAAGTGTTAGCAGTTAAAAGTAGAAAGGCATCGAAGCTTACGACAGGTGGGTTTGCATACCGAACGTGGTGGAGGGTCAACACTGTTCTCCCCTCGCCGTCGACAGAGGATATATGCTTGCTGTCAAAGTCCGAGGTGTCGCCGTAACATCCGAGGGAATCGGGGCACTCCGAGCTCGTCCAGAGTTCGGTGAGGCCCTCTTCGGCAGCGAAGGGACGGTAAGCATCCTTGCAGAATGTGGCCACTCCCGAATACCCGCTTTGGTAACGGGGAAAGGAGAAAAAGGCGCTGTAGCCTTCCACGATCGCCGACGTCTCTTCCAGAACGCTGCCTGGTCAGGAAAAACAGCGGAACAGATCATTTTCATGTGTGTAAAGGAAAGCGAGAACGCCGAAACTGAAAAAGGACGCAGCCCCAACTCACGGGTTGCTTTCGTCTCCTGAAAGCATATTATATCGGCATCGAGTTCTGCCAGTAGGCCCTTGACACCTGCTTTGAAAGAGCGCAGGCCGTTTATGTTCCAACTTACTAATTTCATATCGCTCTAGGAATACCGCAAAACAACCTGTGCCCGCTTTTAAAACCACATGCCATAACAAAGAGTTTAAAAAGCAAAATTAAAACAACAAACCATGCTCTTTGTGGCGATGTGACTGCACTCGCGCGTAAAAACCCTCTTTACTGCAGCAGGACGATTTTTAGCCATAAGATCATGAGACGTCCGTAAAACAATAAAATCGCTATGAATACCGGTACCATTAATTTATAAATTAATATAATTTTATATATGTAACTTAATTTCGGGTAAAAGCGTTTTAGTGGAGGCTACTGGCTAGTCAGACTGGTCAGACTGGCCTGGGCCTGGCCACAATTGAGAAAAATGGCGACGTCCTGTCATTGATGATTGAAGCACGCGCAAGGCAGCGGGAAACGGTGGTACAATTCCATCATTTCTGTTTGCCCAAATGTCCTCGCCGTTATGGATGCATTACGTTCGATGAAGAACGAGAAATGCCTCATTAAAAAGTTGAGTTTAGTTAAGAAAGTTCGTGCTTCCGTGAACGAGGTATCGGGCGACCTCCACGAGTTAGACAGAGCTGTCATCTCGGAGTTCGCGGCTTCGCTGGCGTTCAGCGGAATCCCCAAGGATTTGGTTGCGGACGAAGAGCGGGAATACACGCGGAGCGACTTCAGAGGCATCGCCGAACTGGCGACCGAAGGGCTGCTTTGCGCTCGGTCGCTTCTGGAACGTTCACCGGAATATCTGGAGGATCGCGAAGTCACAACTGCGCTGGCTCTCGTGTGCTTCGCGCACGTCGACGCCGAACAACCCTGGTGCCGCGAGTCATCATCCAAAGCGTCGAAAGGTTTCCTGGAATTTTTGGTGTCCAACGCCGCTTCCTCGGGTCGACTGGCGCTGGCCGTCCTCAAACACATTCAGCCAAAGCTCAAGAAAAACACGTGGAAGAAAAATCCGTGTTACAGGCACGTCTACAAGAATGCCTTATACCAACTTGGGGATTCCGAGTCTTCGGACGCCCTGTCGTTGCTGCTTCCACCGGGTCTGTTGCTCGTGGACGACTACATGACCCACAACCAACGACTCGGTATCCAGTGTGTCCAACACATTATCTCTAAGGCGACGCCAACCGAACTTCAGTGGCATGGTCACTTCGACGTCATCTTCGACGCGCTTAAACGTCTCCTGTACGTCAAAGAACCGGAAGTCATAACAGAGCTTCACAGCTGTCTTCGACGCCTGCTCTTCGGAGACAGCAATGAGGGCCTGCGCCTGTTGCACCTGAAGAGCGAAGACTGTCTGCGAAAGGGCGAGGAAGTCTACGGCGAATTGCTCACGGCAGCTTATGCAGAACAGAAGTTTGTGCTCCGGACTGCTTACTCGAGCCAGCTTGCAGCCTACATCGAATGCTTGGGTATAAACGTTGTCAAGCACATGAGGAAGACACTTGATGTGGTCCTCGAATATGTAGAAGCTTATGACACTGCCGAACAAGCGAGCCGTAGAAATGGTCTCTTAGCTCTGGCAGCGCTCATCAAGTGTGCCTGGCCTAGGATTTCGCATCACTTTCGACGGATTGCAGAGTGCCTCTTCCGCTTGGCATATGACCTTAAGGAGCATGACAAGGGTGATTTGCGGGACGAAATTGCAGCCTGCTTACTCTTACTTGAAGCTGCATGCCCAGAGCAGTTCATACAGTTTACCAAAGACTTGACCAGCTTACAAGATAGAGGCATTCCAGGTGTTGCACTGCTCTTGGAATGTATCAACGCGATACAGCGTGAATGACTGCTGCTGCTTACCGTAATGTTCCTAGAGATAGCCTGCCTAAAATAAGGCACGATTCGGGTGAAAACTGTGAGTGGGCTAACTTGCAATGTATAACCAAGGAAGGATGAAAAAAGAAAAACTTCTAGGAAAAGAAATATTTAAACGAGCTATCACTGTCAAACATAATGTTGATCACTCCGTCACATAGGTCTTGCGACCTTATAACATATCACAGCAAGGGTGCTATGAACCAGACTACTGTTCTTCCCATTCAGTGTTTATCGCCTGCCTAACTGTCCTCGTTTTCGCCGAGGTCACCATTGGCTTGGACAGTGCAATTACTTAAAGTGGGCTAGCTTTCGGTGTTTTGAAAAATATACCGAAATTTGCCGAAAGTATGGTTGGATTATGTTTCCGAGGTGGTACATCTCTTGGGATATTACCGTATAATTCTAGTTGCTTTCGGGAAAGAATGAGATACCAGAGTTGAAAAGTTTTGTTTATTTCATTGAAGGAGGCGACATTCGGCACCAACTGTAGTTGACACAAATGTGCATTATTTTCACGCTAATGTTGCACACACTAAGTGGAACAGCACTCTTCTGTCTGTGTCAATAGTGATGGAGTACAAGATTGTCAATGGTGCATTACCTTACATCACTTTGGTTGGATGCCCCATTAAATGCCTCACACATTTTTGTACTAACACATTACAGCACAACATTACTTTGTCTTTGGTTGCATTTTGGCATTTATGGTTGCTACATGCTTGATTTGTGCCCTTTATTTTTGTTTATCAGCCTCCATTCTTGCCTTTCTTTTCATATAATCAAGGTTTGTCACCTGGCAAGAAATACCTCACTACCACCACTTTTCACCAGATGTATTTAATGGAGAGTTGAAGTTGGTTTAGGCTTGTATTCCTCCCACTTGAGGAAAAGGGCTGTTAAAAGAGGCCTTTCAGAAGTTCCTAACAGTCGCCCCCTGGGTATAGTGCCTAGAAACATGTTTAACTAAGGTGTAGCTTCCCCTGATGAGTGTACTGGAAGATGACCTACCGCAGTGGTGTGAATGCTTTCACAAAAGAGGAACTTCCAATCATATTTTACTGCTCCACTGTCCGCCCCAAAATGTGTGTGCTGAAATTCTTCCACGACTTGCTAAACCATAGAGTAAAAAATATTGAAGCATCTCTAAATCACATACATACCTCCTTTAAAAAAAAAAGGAAGCTATTTACATTTTTTAAATGAGCTGCTTCACCAACATTTGATACATCTCTTTCTGGTACGAAAAAAGTCGCTTGCCAAATATTTCCTAGAAAAATGATGTATTAGTGATCGGACTCGCCAACTCCTCGCCGCTACAAAGATAATCCTGCCAAACAGCAGATGCTGCATGTTCCCTTCCAATATGCTAGCCTATCTAGTATTATATCTAAGAACAGGGGTTGGCAATTTTTTTATCAGCAAGACAAGGTGTCATGGGGCTGAGGACCCGCGATTTTTGCAAGGGTGTCTCAGATGGGATGCAGAAGTCTACCAAAAACGGAAGTTGAATTCCAATTTACAAAAGCCTTGAAACAATTCACAGATTTGATATGAAGTGTTCCTCGAATAATGCGACAAAAGCGTGCCAAAACGTGCTGGTTTTACCCGCCTTCGTTCCCACAGAGCGATCCCAAACAGAGGAGGGGACTACTTTCCTCTCTGGCAGTTATTGTGCAGGTGTCTTTGGAAGCTGCAATCAGTAATTTTGTGAGTAGCCAATTGTCTCAATTAGTCCAATTACCATTACCACACCATTCTATAGAGGGCTGTTTTTCTCCTGCAATACGATAAGGAGAGAGAACAGTCCTCGCAGAGAGTGGAATTCATAGGAGTCTTTCTGCATGCCGGGACACTCTTCATCACAGATTTACACTGCATGACACTGTTAGCGCGAGAAAGACTTCACCGTTTTTTGGCGGCTAGATCAGACATGTTATTCACAAACTACAAATTTTACCGCCCAAGTTGTCGTCGATGAGAAAATTTCCCCACATTAGCAATTTTGATGATGACTCTTCAGCTGCGACAGAAACGCAGATAAAAAAACAGAGATTGCTCGTTCACGCTATCTGTGATGATGACTCTTCAGCTGAGACAGAAACGCAGATAAAAAAACAGATTGCTCGTTCACGCTATCTGCATCGCTCGGTGTTCTATGAGTCGAGCTGAGACAATATGAGCTTTTGATTTCCTTAATTTTCCACATAATAGATGGGATGTGAAACAAAACGCTCAAGTGCATCTTGCATTCAATGTGCACGAAGCTCTGTTCCGAGCGTTACTTATACAGTCTGAAAATCACTTTGCAGTTCCCTTAAAGAAAGATCACGACGAATGAGGAAATATTAGCATGTGACAACTAGTCCCATGAAATTACTGAGGACAGGGGCTTCACATGATCCAAAACTTCAGAATCAATGTCGAAGTTTCACTGGATTTCAGTCAAACCAAAGGAGAACACTTCTGCCATGTCAATTACCGTAGGAAAAAAAAAGCAGTACTGGTGCTGTGCTATTATTGTTTGACAATTATGACACATTGTGAGGATTGGGCATGTGGCACGAAAGGCTGATACTACAAATGCTAGGTGTATCCCATTATGCTATCACATTTGTTACTTTTTCAGTAACTTGGATTACGAGTCACTCACTCTCGCATGCTGCCCCGAGCTGAGATGGTACCTTCGTAAATGGCTTTTTTTTTGCCATGTTAAGCTCCAGAAATGCCAGGGAAACAAAGTGCAGTTTCCAGGGTCTCAATCTCTCAATGTCTGCGGTTCTTGTCGCCCGCCATAAACAACTAGTGGTCGAAATTTCCTGCCCCACAGAACAGCATTGTGGAACTTCAAGAAAGTTAAAAAAATTCATGGAACCATTTCTTTTGCTTTGAACTTTCAATATAACTATCGGTGGTGGCAAGATGCTAAACGAGACAGTCTATTAAACTACACATTTACAAAACAAAAAAAAAAATTGAAGTAAACAATTGTCACAGATATACGCTAGCGCAACAGCTGGAACAATCGGCTGGTCAAACTTCTGAGCTGTCGTATTATTCCCGACGAGCCACTCTCGACGATTTCCCTTGAACTGTTGTAGTAGAACACAAATGGACAAGATTGCTTAACGGTGGGTCCTAGACGCCTCAAAATGTTCCCACGGGAATGGCCATGCTTGCTCCATCCTTAAGGGGAACTAAAGTGGATTTCGAGATTGTCTTTTTATGGTGCAAACTCGATCTGTGCGTCCTAAGCATTCTAGAAAGCCCATAATTACAACCGCGTGTGGCTTTCCTCTCTAATATAAGCACAATCAAACATCACGTTATGCCTCCTTTGAAATACTGACGATTTTCATTGCATGTTTTTTAACCTAATTTTACGGCTTCAACTTTAAACCGCCAGGCGCCGTGAAAATCTGAATCCTTTGAGAAAGCTGGTGAGCGAACCTGCCGCAACAGTGTTCTGCTCTAGCTGGTAGGTGCTTTCGATTTCGCATAGTCGCCAAAATCTCGGGAACAAAATGGCACGTGAAAAGACTTCGCAGCATTTTTAATTATAAAAAAAAAAAAAAAAAAGATCATGTACAATTGCAGTACTTGGTTTTCTAACATGCTTAGAATGGACAGGCAGAGCCTGCACCATAAACTACCTCAAAATCTACTTTATGCCCCTTTAATAAAAAATCAAAAGCCAGAATAATTCTTAAATAAACCTTAACTGGACGAAAGAATGGCCGGAGGTCAGGTGGCCCAATGAAACCTGGGCAGACCGCTTGTACTAAGGGTCAAAATCCCTTTTGGTGCCCCTTACTGCGGTGCAGGACGACTTTTTAAATAAACCGAAACGAAAGATGGTCGACGACGGCGGTGCCGGGGTTCGACGAGCCCAGTCAGACCTGGGCCGACCGCTTGTGCTGGGGTTCCAGGATGACCTCGGTTGGAGTCGCCCTGCGCCGCAAGACGAGGACCCTGGGCCGCGTGCGCACGAGCACGGGCGGGAAGGCAGCGTAGTTGAGCCGCACGTGGCTGTAGCCCTCCACGGCCGTCACGAGCTCGTGCGTCTCCCGGTAGGGCACCACTGAGCTGCTGTGCATCGACTTTCCCTCCACCAGCAGGTGCGTAAAGCTGTGCATGGTCAGGCCTCCCGCGACCAGGTTCTCCGTCTTGTTGTACCTGCCGGGCAGAGGTCTGTCAGGCTTGGGCAGTGGTGTAGGCAGAGAGGAGGTTTCAAGGTCAAAATTTCCCCCCTCTCCCCCTCTGTAAGTGTGACTCCAAGTAGGCAATCCCCTCCCTCTCCCTAAAAAAAAAAAAAAAAAAAGAAAAAAAGAAATCCTGGTTACACAATTGGACATGACATAACTAGACGACAAAAGGGAAAATAAAATGCCCAAAATAGCAGTACTATACAAATGGGGCGTTGTCGACAACCCGTTGGTTTCCTGAGCTCTCGGAAAAGGAACACATATACAAAGATTAGCAAACAAACAAGGTCCACACTCCGACATAGTACGCAAGCTAGCTCACAAAAGGTAAATTTCCTTTTGAAGTGGTACGTAGAGGTTGACGTAAAATGCCTAGCATGCATCCACTCAAAAGTTGGAGATAGCTTTAAAAAAACTGGAGGATGGGCACTTGTTTGATATGTGATGTTTGATCCGTGAGCAGAAATGCAGAGCTGGTGCACAAGGTAGGGTGGGCTTGACCGCTTAGCCGAAGAAATGAGCGTTGAGGACGTGTGGATGCTTTTTAAACAGAGAGTTATTAGCCTCACAGAGAAATACATTCCGAGTATTGATGTACGTAAGCTAAAGAAAAGAGAAAAACCATGGATCAATGGTGGTCTATTAAGAATTATTAAAAAACGCAAGCGTGCGTATGCAAGATATAAAAAGAAAAGTTCGGCCTCAAACCTCCAGATATTAAAGGAATTGACTACGACGTACAAAGAGACCGCAAAAAAATCTAAACAGGATTATCTTCAACGTCTTGAAGACACGATGAAAACTAACAATAAGCAGCTCTGGAAGTTTATGAAGCTCTGTGGTAATGATCAGATGGGAATACCTGATATAATGGTACATGGCGAACTACTCACTGACGCAGGGCAGAAAGCTTGCGTTTTTAACAATTATTTTAAATCAGTCTTTCTGCCTCCAGAAGATACAACACTAGAAATGTGTTCAAGCAATTACGATGTGATGCCACCCGTAGAAATAAGTATGGAAGGTGTATTTAATCTTTTGGAACATATCGATGAAACCAAAGCGATGGGCCCTGATAAAATTTCCCCTCGGGTTCTAAAGAGTTGTGCAGACGCAATAGCGCCTTACCTTTTCATAATATTTAACAAGTCATTACTTAATGGAGCTTTGCCAGGGGACTGGAAATTAGCTAATGTTGCTCCTATACATAAGAAAGGTCCCAAAAATGATGTCACGAATTACAGGCCGATCTCCTTAACGTCGGTTTGCTGCAAGTTGTTTGAGCACATTTTATATTCCCAGATAATGCAACATCTCACGTTTCAGAACTTTTTTATTGATTATCAACATGGATTTAGAAAGGGTTATTCTTGTACTACACAACTCACTGAATTTTATCATGATCTTGTTACTACCGTTGATAGGGGTGAGCAAATTGATTGTGTGTTTCTCGATTTTAGAAAAGCGTTTGATACAGTATCGCATTCCCTCTTAATCCAAAAATTGGCACTTTTGAATCTAGATACTTCGGTACATAATTGGATACAGGCATATTTGTGTTCGCGTCGGCAATGTACGGTTCTAGATGGTGAAACATCAGATTTTGTTGAAGTTACCTCTGGCGTGCCACAGGGGTCGGTACTTGGACCTTTGCTGGTCTTAATATTTATAAATGATATTCACGTTGGCGTGACCTCTCAGCTAAGATTGTTTGCTGACGATTGTGTTGTATATAGATGTATAAAAAACGATGAGGATTCCACACAACTGCAGGCTGATTTGGATCAAATTGAACTCTGGTGCAGTCTATCAAAATTGCAGTTAAACGTCAGCAAATGTGTACATGTTACCTTCACCCGCAAAAAAAATAAACTTCACACTCAGTATTATTTAAATAATGAACCACTAAAAAGTGACGGTAAAGTAAAGTACCTGGGGGTGACCTTATTAGCAGACTGCAAGTGGAATGCGCAAATTGACGATGTCGTCATGAGGGCGGGACGGGCACTCGGTTTTATACAGCGTAATCTAAAAAGGTCTACACAAAAAATAAAAGAACTTGCATACCTTACCTACGTTCGACCTCTTACAGATTATGCTTGCACTGTGTGGGATCCTGCTCAGCAAAATCACATAGACGCTTTAGAGAGGATCCAAAATCGTGCGACACGCTTCGTCCTGGGGCTGTACGACCGCTTTTCGAGCGTCACGGACATGAAGAGTACATTAGGCTGGGATTTGCTGACATCCAGGCGGAAAAATTTGCGCTTAAAATTTCTATATAGCATTTATAATAAACACACTGGTATTAACGGTTTTCACTACCTTCTACCCCCTTACTATATTTCCCAACGTAAAGATCATATCCACAAAATACGCGAATAATCCACCAGGACGGAACTGTGCAAAAATTCTTTCTTTGTTAGGACCATTAGGGATTGGAACAATTTAAGTGTTAAAACTGTTTGTGCCGCAAATGCAGAAATGTTTTTTCTATGTTGTTCGCCCCCTGCAATAATGCCTAACGGCGCTGCAGGAGCTACCTGAATAAATAAAGAATAAAGAGCAAGCGCATCAAGCTTCGCTGCATTGCATCGGTGTGCCCGGAGAACTGGCTGAAGCGTAGGAGCCTCTTGGTTTGCTAGGCGTGCTCAGAAGCCTAAGTCGAGCGCTACATATATCCTTCGCTTGTTTTTATAACGTTTCAAAAGTAGTGAGTGGGCACGTATTGTGACACGGGCACATGCTAGGTGTTTTACAGTAATTTGAATTAAAGAAAATCCCTAAGGTAGAGCGGATCTAAGAAAGGACAAATGTTTTAACTGTTTAACCGCTGTTTTAACCCATTCAATATGGATACTACTTCCGGCTTAAATAAAGCGCAACTCATTTAGGTGAACGGTGCACCGCTTAAAAGATATACCTCGTACAAGCAAACCTTGTGGTCTGTTTAGGCTCGAGATTGGAGGCAGCTGACAACAACCACTTGCCCTATTAATGCCTACACCCCGTGTTACTAGCTACGTGCAGTACAGGCTAAGGCAACGCCAGGCTCAGGGAGGAAGGCCTCCTTTCCTTTCCGAAATTCCTAGTGCTCTCCTTTTTTTCCCTGGCCCTCCTCTCTCGTCCCACCATCCTAGTGGTCGCCCTTTCTCTTTTTGCCTGGTGCTGCCTTCGCCTGCACAGCGCGCAACTAGTGACGCAGAGTATAATGCCCGGCTACCCAGCAGGGGTGCCAGGGATGAAGACCAGACCAAGTAGATTTTTTTCAGTAGCACACCAGCAGCCTGGAGGGCACAAGTAGTGCTCTGTCTTAGGTAAGAGTATCATTTATTCCTTCATGAAGGACCAGTACTACCGTGGGTGTTTTCAAGCTTTGAGCATTAGTGGATAATTCTGTTCTTGTTTCTTCCCGGGTTTGTTAGGGTACAAACTTGAATCATCAGCGATCATTTGGCCTATGTGATTCTTCTATCCCATCAGCTACACTGGATTTTTGTTTGAAAGATGCATTACCAGCTAATAGTAGCAGCAGTCCAAGTTGAATCATATTGCAGATTTTTAAGCTTTTCACTTTGGCGTCCAAACACAAACTCAACAAGGAAAAAAAGAAACTTAATGGAAGTTTTTAATTATGAACTAACAACTAAAACATTTCTAAAATCGAAGATGGAGGCTACAAAGAGGGGACAAGCAGTAAAAGCGGTTTTGTGAAGAACAAACAAGGTTGCTGCGACGTGACACCCATTGTGTAGAATGGTCTTCCCCGTTCTATATATTTTTGTTAAATCCATTCAAAACCTTACAGTATTGTCAATTTCATTAGAAACCAGTGTTGGGAAGAACTTAAGTACCTAAGTTTAGAAAACTTGCACTTTACTTGAAGTACATTCCCTGAGTATGTACAGTGCCCCTCAAACTTAACGCCGCCACTCGGGTTTGCAAATATTGATCTATTGCATGCTACCCAAAGATAAATTGATCGCTGCAGCTGCTGGAATACCTTCCCCTGAATGGGTTCTCATCGGCGACACAAATATTCACCAACTATATCGACCGCTAGGTTCAGGAATAGCTCAGAAAGTGAAGAAAACCGGACCATCTCGTGGCAGCGTTAAGTTTGGGGCGCACCATACTTTTACTTCACTTAAGTAAATTTCTTTCTTTTTTTTCTGGTGCTTTTTGAGGTAAGTACAACTCCTTATCTTCAAAGTACGTTCTCCAAAATCGGTCTTGTTAAATTTGTATCACAAAACAATGCTTTGTCAACAGAGAAGTGCCTTACAAGTTTGCAGTAAATTGTTTGTGAGCAAAAGTAAAACTACTCTGCGGCCACTTGACATTATCCAATATTCGACGCCATTTCCGAAAATAACTGATGCAGCCCTGATTACCTCTGAAGCAAAGCAAACCAGTAAAAAAAACACGGTATAGGGGAATGAAAGAGCACCATGAAGGATTGTGTTAAAAAGTACTCCTACTTTACTTTAAAAGTACATTGTATTTATAGTACTTTACTTGAAGTACATCACCTCTTATATACTTTGCGCTTTACTTCAAGTACTTGCTAGATGTACTTTACCCAACACTGTAAAAAACCTGCCAGTCTTTAATTTGTGAATAATTAAAAGACAAACATACAAACTCCTATAAAGGTGAAGTATCACTTACCTCCAGTGAGGATTCAATTCTCCAAATCGGGAGACTCCTGTCTGAGCGGAATACACATCGATGTGGATGTTGGCAACTGAAAGCCAGCAAACAGTATCATCATCAGAGATGAGGTGTAATGATAAATCCATCACAATACACATAATTTACTCACAACTTGTAAACTCTCTTCAACCCAACTCATTTTCCACAGCTCAACAAGGCTTTAGAAGGAATGAACTGCTTATGATCGGGGATTCCAGGTAGACTGCATATTCCTTGATTTTTCAAAAGCATTTGACAAGGTATCTCGCAGTCCTCTCCATAAACAAGGTAAACTAAACATCGATCTTAATGTGATTAACTGGCTGGCAGCATTTTTAACACATCATTCTCAGTTTATAACCTGCAATAGTATTAAAATTAACTCTCCCTTGGCACCCATTTTTTTGGAGTACCTCAGGGGTTTGTTTTAGGCAAGGGACTCTGACAGTAATCGTAACCAAAACCGAAAATCGTTCAGGAACAAAACTTTTTCAATTAACATAACCGGAACAAATCAGTTATTTGAAATAGAAAAAAAAAAGCATAACTGTAACCGTAAGTGTAAATTATTTACTGGTAATCACTATAAACCAATATTAACCGAAAAATAAAAAAAAAATTTTTTTTTTCAAGAATGACCTTGAGGAGGGTTCTTGAAATGTTGTGGCCATTTGACAGAGTTACCGTCAGCGAGTGGTACATCTGGTAATGCATTTCCGCTCAATCTAAATTTAGGATTAAAAATACTTACTCGTTTTCAACTCAAAAGCCGTAATAAAAAAAAAAGTTCGGCTCCTCGCGTAGCATTACTAATTTCCCCCTTAATGTAGATAATTGCGAGATCTGTAGGTGCATTTTAAATAAAATATATCTTATCTTATCAAGACGCACACAAACACCAAAAGCATAGCTTCTTCCTCCAACAACCAAATCTTGTAAGAACTACTTCACACAATGTATGAACAATGCGCAAAACTTCCTTTTTTCTTGAGATGAAAATGCCTATACTTGGAATCCGTGATAGAGCTTATCTCTAGTCGGCTTTAGATAGTCAAACATTGTACTTTTAGTAAGGGCAGCATTGCTTGGTTGTTTTGGTAATATAGCAAAAATAGAAAAAAATGTTATTAAATTTTAAGTTACTATTAGGTAGAATTATGTTCCGCTGATTGTTATGTTATGTTATGTTATGTTATGAATTATGTTCCGCTGACTGGAGGCTCCCCTCGAGCAGAACTTCGCCGCAGACAGCTTTGGTGGTTTCGACAGGTACGAAAACACTCGACCGCGGCGGTAAGTTTACGTGACTTGCGAGGACTCGGACCGCGGATGACGTCGCTTTGGGTTTTTCTGGTGGTGAAACAGGTTTTCGCAGAGTTAGCCGGTTTGCTCTGAGGTCAATGACGGCGCCATACTCGCAGAGGAAGTCCATTCCGAGGATAACGTCCCTCGAACAGTCCTGCAGAACGACGAACTTCACAGGGCACGTCTCACCGTGGATCTCGACGCGAGCAGTGCATCGCCCGACTGGTGTGATGACGTGCCCACCGGCGGTTCGTATTTGAGGGCCTTCCCACGGCGTTGTCACTTTTCGCAGGCGGCGAGAGAGCCTCCCACTCAAGACTGAGTAGTCTGCTCCGGTGTCCACGAGTGCCGATGGGTCGTGGCCGTCGATAATGATGTTTAGGTTGTTGGACACCGATGCAGGGATGTCGTTGTGATGCGTAGCGTCGAGAGAGTGGGAGCGCTCCGGCGTTCTTGGAGGCTCTTTACTTCGGTCGTCTTCGGCAACGCCACCTCCAGGCGTTGCCGCACTTATTTTTCCCGGCGACGCAAGGGGGACAGGCTCTCTCGGCGGGGTCGTGGCGCTGGAGACGCTGAACGCCTGGGCGACGGTGAGCGGGACTCACGGCGGAGCAGCGTTGAAGATGGCGAACGTCGGGGGTACTCCTCGATGTCACGAGGGCGTTCGTCGTCCCTTGGGCTATGTGCCTACTATCGGCACTCCGTTCAAGATTTCGCAAGGATTTCCGTACCGCTCGTAAACCTCACGAAGGACGCCGAGAAGTTTGAATGGGCCGAGGAGCAGCAGCAGGCATTTGACGAGCTGAAGCGACGACTGCAGGCGCCTCCTGTTCTTGGACATTTTGACCAGTATGCGGAAACCGAGATTCACACGGACGCAAGTAACGCAGGACTTGGCGCGGTACTGGTTCAAGTACAAGAAGGCACCAAGCGAGTCATCGCCTACGCAAGTCGGACATTGTTAAGGCGGAGCGAAATTACTCCACGACCGAAAAAGAATGCCTTGCGGTCGTCTGGGCGATCACGAAGTTTCGTCCGTACTTATACGGAAGCCCGTTCCGCGTAGTCACGGACCACCGTTCGCTCTGCTGGCTTGCGAACATCAAGAACCCGTCAGGACGCCTTGCGCGATGGAGTCTCCGACTACAAGAGTTCAACATGACCGTAGTCTACAAGTCAGGCCGCAAGCACAGTGACGCCGACTGCCTATCCAGAGCTCCCGTCGAAACACCTTCCGACAGCAGCGACGACGATGACGATGAGTGTTTCCTCGGCGCAGTGAACACCGACGACATGGTCAGACGTCAACGAGACGATCCTGAGCTGCGCGCACTAATAGAGCACCTGGAAGGGCGTGGGAGTGCCATACCACGTGTTTTTTCACGAGCCCTGCCGACCTTCGCCATTAGACAAGGTGTTCTCTACAAAGAGAACTTCGGTAACAACAACCCGACGTGGCTGCTGGTAATCTTGACCGACCTTCGAGAGGAGATCTTCCAAGCCTGCCACGACGATCCGACGTCCGGACACCTTGGTTACAGCCGGACACTGGCCCGTATTCGTGAAAAGTATTACTGGCCCAAGCTCCCCAAAACCGTCCACCTATACACATGATCATGCCATGAATACCAGCGACAAAAGAAACCTCCGACGAGGCCGGCCGGACTTTTGAAGTCAATTCCTCCGCCAACGGCCCCCTTCCAGCAGATCGGAATGGATCTACTTGACCCTTTAGTTTACCATTCTTTTTATTTGCTTTGTTTTGTTTTTGGGGTGCATCGGGACGATGCACTTTTTAAAGGGGGGAGTAATGCTGCGCGCAAGCTGGCCAAGTAGGCAGCGCGCGCGTGGCCTAACGGTTATCGCGCTTGCCTTCCACGCAGAAGGCCAGGGTTCGAATCCTGGCCGCGGCTACATATTTTTGTTGACACTGTAATGAGATGTTCTGGTGAATTCAAGAACCGTCTTGGCTGATTCGAGGTTAGAATGTTCTACGCGCCGAACCTTCTACGCCGAACGATCCAGAAACCCATGAGGGTGCATAAGGGATTCCGCAAGGTGAGCGGAGTCAGTTTTCGCCTCAGCGTTCGATCCTGCTGCTTCGACGCTTTCGACGCCCGCGACGCTCTGTCGTTATTTTCTTTTGCCTTTTATTCCTGGGCACAAGTTCGCCCCATTAAACGTTTCAGTTATTTCGTTGTTTTGTCACCTTGTCATTCGTGACAATATAAGATAGAACAGCCTATTCCGTAGAAACATTTTCTCCAAACCTAGACATGCTTGTATCAAAGTCTAGCTACACTGTCCACAAAGTCGAACCTTGTAGAACCTGGTCCAAAGTTTGAAAGTTCCGTCGAAGCAGTCGAACCTTGAGGCTCGAAGTAAAAATCTGGCTCGACGAAAGTTTGTGACATCCCTCGCGGCAACATATCCATAGAAGAAGCTCCGCCTCCAGACTCCGGAGAAAAATAGCACTACTTTGTAAGTGCACAATTTTCTAGTATCACAAATCGGACAGTGAGAAACGTGCGCTTCTATAACCACATGCATTTGCTTGGAAATAGCAAGCACGACATAGGTATAACAGCACACAACAATGAAAAATAGGGAAAGGAACAAACAACACAGGACATACTTTTACAACTTACTGTGTTGCTTGTTCCTTTCCTAAGTCTTCCTTGTTTTGCGCTATTGCATTTACATTATGTTTGAATTTCACTAACTAGCCCAGCTCTCAATTTTAGTACTTTATTCCACTTAGCAGTATTTTATTTGAGGAGGGCTATAGTTTTGCTCCTTCCTTCAGGGTGGGCGATGCCTGCATATCTTAGGTTGCAACAAACTATAGCGACGAGAAGGTGCGACTGGTTCCTGCAGCACCGAGGGGGAACTTTCTGAGGGTTGTTTACAAACTCTGCCAAACAACAAAGTAGCGATGTTCATCTTTATGATATAGAATGTGATGATCCCCGAGTAGCAGGGGTTACTTGTGCTTGGGTATCAAACCATATGATGCAAATAGATGCAGTGAACAAGTGCTGAAGCTAGAAACATCTGCAACTTTTGGCCAATTAGAATTATTAAGACGTTTTTGAGTTCTTGTTATTGTGAATGTCCCATTGTGGGATATCTGGGACTACTTTAAACTGCTTACTATGAAACGGCTGTCTAGCATTTTCATAAAACAAATTACTAGAAAAACGGGGAAAAAAAAAGTTTTAGGAAAGCGTAATTGGTAACCAAAACTGCAAAAGACCGAAAAGAAACCGACATCAACAAGAAACGGTAACTGTCCGGATGAGCCAATGACGAGGCTTTACTGACCCGGAAAGCCGGCCTCGAGTTCGTGCAACTTCTTGAGTGCGTGTCCCCCGGGGTAGTTGTAGCTGGAGATGTAGAGGAGGAGGCCTGTGGCACACAGGTTGGCCACCAGGTGCATGCACACGCCCAGCGTGAACACCACGTGCCAGCTGGACTTGAGCCTGCTGTTCCAGCTGGTCGCACCAGGGTCCCGCAAAGCCCGAGAAAAAGCGCCAGTTAGATTTGCACATGGAAGAGTACTACTAACACGCTACTTCTCAGGCCAGACGGTGTCCAAGCAAGCGGAGGCATTTCAATGTGTCGCATTTAGCATTTTATAAGATAAAAACACTGACAAAACAGCCCCGAGCATCTAATTGGCGCTCTGCAGCCAATAAGCGAGGTAAAACAAAAATCATCTTTTTTTCAAAAAAGTCTAATAAATCAGATTAGTAATTTGATTTAAATCACTGTAGCAATAAAATAGTGATTCTTAATCACTAGATGTCTATTCTAACGTGTCAATGGATTAATCGATTCGTCCGATTACCGAAAGCAATGTGGAAGAAAGAATTATTGTATAGTTCAATTAACAACTTTTTATTGAGTAAACCCCACCATAGTAAAAACAAAACTAGCTCGATTTGTTTTACTTAATGAAAAAACTGACTTCTCTTTGCACTTTGATTTTCTTGGAGTAGGATATTGCTCTCCTAGTTTTCTTTCCTTTGCCATTCTTATTTACTCGCAATAAAATGTTGCATAAGTGACGAACAACTAAGTGGAGGGCAGGAAGAAAGCTCGAAGTTGCCGATTTTTTCAGAAGAGCTACTGCTTTGTGCTCGTGTTCAGCCCGATATCAATCTCGATTGCTTAACGATTCTTTGATTTAGATATAAAGCAAACGTAAGCAAGGAAGTACCAAATAATAGACAAACTGTAAAAAAAATGTATTTTTGGGATTATCCTCTTGGGCAAGGTTAGATTTAAATCATCACAGTAAAACCATTCCGATTTAAATCGCAATTCAAATCATCTAGATTTTTTTCTCCACCCTGCTCTGGAGCCAATGAAACTGCGGCATTGACTGATAAGACCAGCAAAGAATGGAGTGTGAACACGATAAGCCACGCCTCGAATTTCTCGTCAGTGACTGCAGTACACGTAGAAAGGTTTAATCTCTGCACCGATACCTTTTTAGTTGTGTGCAGTTCCCTTTCTCTCCTGTCCAGGAGCTCCGGCCACAAAGCGAAAATAAAAGTTTTTTTTTTTCTTTCTCTCTCTCTCCTGTCCACGTTTTTCTTTTTATGCGCTCTCGTCAGTCGATTTATCGTAACTCTCACTTTTGTAATGGTCAGGCTGTCCTCAAAACTATGTCGGATAAATCATAACGAGTGACTCACACGAAGAGACAGGCCCTGGCAGCTGCCACATTGAAGAGGGGAAACACATAGACGATGAACCTGAGCTCCTTGTGGGGCAGGAAGGAGTAGAGGATCACGTATCCGACGGCCGGAAGGAGCATCACTTTCACCCTCGAGTCGACCCACACTCCCACTGGAAGGAGTATCAGCGAGCTGCACAGTGCCCTCGGGATGGCAGAGTAGAAGTACCAGGACCAGGGTGAAGTCTTCCTTTGTGGTCAAGGACAAGACGTGACGATGCTGCGCCTCCTACAACCATGCTCAGCTCGAGTTTGCTACTGCTGGCGACGGGTTAAGAACCGAGTAGATGCTCCGCCTCCAGCTTCAGCTTTCTGCCTTTGAAAGCACTTCGTTGCACGCGCAGGCAAAGCCCGTGAGAGGCAACAAGCAAGCGACAGGGCAGAGTAGCTAATGGGCCCTTAATCCGTCACCGACTATAGGTTGTTATATTTAAACGATTCCGCAAACTTTGGTGTGGTAGACAGTGGCCAATGACACTCAACAGTCAAGCACACCGAAATAAAGGGGCTTGGTGACAAAGTTATGTTAGTGTACAAGCACTGTGGAAGCAACTGGAACAAAAGCTCGAACTGAAGACACAGAAATCAGAAGTTTAGGTCATATTCCTGCGGATTCAGATATAAACGGGAATTTTAACGTCGCACACTAGCGTAATGGCTGACACGTGATGCAGGTTAAAGACTCTGGGTTAGCAGACATTGCCCCTTAAGGCAGTTAAGCTTCCCACTGTCAAAATGTCTGTGCCAACTACTTTTGACTTTGAACACTAAAATTAGCGTTGCCGTAACCAACTAGGACATAATGAAAATTTGCAAAGTTTAACGACTCTCGTTGCAAAATTAGCGAAGCTGCCCGTCCTACCTACAGACGTTCGAATGACGGTGACATTCAAGTACGAAGTCAAATGGGAATGCAGAAAGGATACACCCCACTCGGAGCTCTTGTTGAGCACCAGATTGAACCAGAGGACTTCTCCTTCTGGCCACAGCCAGCGCTGCCAGAAGTAAGAGTCGATCACGATCGTGGCCCCTGTAACGAGCAAATTATAAAGGTTGATTCACACACTTGCGACTGCTTACGATTGTGCACCTTAAAACCTTTTAAAATTTCTTATGATGAGAAAACAGATTGGCTAAAACCTTTTAAAATCTCCTATGACGAGAGAACAGATTCGCGCCATTTATTTGGAGGAGCACTTGGCATTTACGTATATTTCCTATTTTTGTTTGTGCATCATTCTTTCTTTCTTGGCTCGAAAAACGTTTGACACAGATAGTATTAACATTTGATCTTGCAAACACAGCAAAAGATTTGCTCTAGTGAAGTGCAGTTCCAAAGTCACCTCACAGATGGCACCAGCATGCAGCGTGTTCTCTCGTTGTGAGAAATCACCAGAACTTGGCTGTAAGCAAACTCAAGTTTGCGAACGGGCCTTGAAATTGTCGAATTCCTTTCATTCGTCGAAAGGGGCGAGGGGCACCAACTTGCCTAACAGAACAACTGCAGTCGGAATGCCCCACTTGAGGAGCTTGAGAATGCCCAGCCTCCCCGAGAACAGCTCGATGAGGAGGATGATGCCGAGCAAAGAGGCCAACTCCGTGCGGAACACGAGGACGGCCACTCCGCTGGACAGGATGAGGGGAACGTGCCTCTGCTCAACCCAGAAGCTGTACGCCAGCAGGACTGGAAGAAACGAGAGGCGAGTCAGTTTTCGGTGTGAGCCTCGTTCCCTTTTATGTTTTCGGGTGCTGAGAGGAAATGGGATGTAGACGTGTTAACTGTGACCTCTGCATTGATCTGAGCAATCAATTGGACATAATACACCCTTTTCAGAAGTCTATCGAGCAAAACTAGCGGTCACCACTTTTTGAGCGCGATTGGATCCGAGTCGACGCCGAATGCCGCTCGTTTTTGACATGAGCTCAGCCGAGTTCACGCCGAGCACTGACCCAACCCTTACTTCTAATAGCTCAGAGTACATGTTCATTGTAAATTTAACACCCATATTCATACTTCCCGACTGCAACCAATTTCGCGTCGCAAGTCGTGGACGCTTTACGACTCTGCTGACCTGGTAAGAGGATCAGCTTGCTTCTCACTTAGATAAAATATTATACACTTGGGTCCCATTACCTGTGCTTTGCTCTCAAAGTAATGTGCACCGCGAGTAGCATATAACGGCTCAATTGATGAAATGCCCGAGTTAGTTACTAATTTCCTATAATGTGAGTATGAGGCCAGGTCTGAAAGCGCAAGTTCCCTGTTACAAAATATGCGTCTTCCACGCAAAGTATTGGAGCTTGTTTTTATAGAGTTTGCTGCATAGTTACAGAATACACAGAAAGAATAAAACATGTAAAGGACGCACACAGGCACACACAGTTCTTTCAGTTCTCTTGAAAGAACTGTGTGTGTCTCTGCTTGTCCTTCATGTGTTTTATTCTTTCTGTGTATTCTGCAGTTTTCAACGCGCTCTGCTACGTGTACTGTGCTGCATAGTTGTGGTAAGATAAATCAGATGAAGTATTCAGGTTCAAATTTATCTAGACATTAAAGGGATCTGATCTGGGCACATCTTCTTCTACCTAGAATGTGTAACTCTCCCTGTGATAGACAATATATCACAGAGAGAAAGGCTAGGAGCAAAAGATTCTTACAAGAGGAGGTGCACTCTAAATGCATTTTAAAACTTTGCATCCAAGCATTTCTTTGTCCTGCATGAAATGGTGCATGGTTTTATACTCTGCTCATGACCATTCAGAAAGCTGAATATTTCATTGAGGTTGAAGGATGGAGAACCATATCAGAAAACTTGAGGTTGCTGAAACAAGAAAAAAATATGGGAAGGACAGGGCATACCGCGTCTCAAAGCGCAAATAAAAAAAGGCACTGTGGTATTAATTTTGATCTTCCTATACGGCAAGCATGTTTGTCTGCTCCTCGCGCGGAGGGTGTGGTGGCGTCAGGGCAACGATTTTCGTCGTCGTCTCCTCGACGTAGCAATGGCTACTTTCTCTTTTCCAAGGCTTTCAAAAATGTCCACCGATCCTTTACGAGCAAGGACTTGGCCATCAAGAAAAGGGAGATGAAATAGTTCAAATGGCGCATTGTTTTTGTTGATTATCAACTATCAGATGTGCTTAAAGGCAAAACCGCATGTAAGCGATTTAGCGAGTGACAAGTCGAGCAACAGTGACAGCGAAAGCAACGAAAGTCAGCGGCGAGCGACCGAGATTTCTCACTGTTGCTCGGTTTTTGGGTTTCTAGAAAAGGTCGCTCATCACTTTGGTCACTTGCTCCCGTCGCTTTCATGCGGTTTGCTGCGTCGTGCGACTGATCGGGCAATAGCAAAGCGGGTCGCTGTCGCTTGTCTCGTCGCTCGCCAAATCGCTTCATGCGGTTTATACTTAAATGAATGAAGAACTCGTGGTCGATGCATTGTTTACTACCCGCCGGAGGAAACGGGAGAACAGCATCTGCTGAGGCAGATATTCGCTGCACACAAATTCACTCCCTTTCACTTTTCTGCACCTCCTGCCTCAACTGCAGAGACACTCGTCACATTATCGCTCTTCCCCTCTCACATGCGAAGGGAGGCATTTGGGCTAACTTGCTTGCCGTACAGGTCTTCCCATGCTCACTTTCCCGAGCACACAAAAGATGCAATGGGTGCTCACTCACCAAACACGAGGGCAAACGTGTTGGGGAGAGGCCGCGACATGTAGAACACAAAGTGAAACTGCGACACCGTCAGCAGCGTCAGCCAGTTGGTCATCACGCCTCCAAATTCTTTTTGAAGCGCACGGCAGAACTCCCGGTAGGCAAACACAACCATGGTGCTCAGGACAGCTCTCACTGCAAAACAATCAGGTAGAAACGGACATTCTGAAACTCCAACGAAGATTCTGAAGGTGACGTCGGTACGAAGAAAGGAACACCGACCTATGTACTGAGCCACTATTTTTTCCAAGCCCATGAATGTGCTAACTGCAACCCAGGGGCCTGCGAAAATGGCGACCAGAAGAGGGCCGACGAAGGATCTCGGTACCACTCCTGGAAACTCTAAGTGGTCGTACTGCAAAGAACGTGAAGATGCATTTCCATTTATACACACCTCAACTGGGGAAAAAAAAAAAAAAAAAAAAGAACACGAGCAGGGATGAGGCATTCTTACGTTGGAAATGTTTGTCCGGTGGTACAAGATGTCGTGGATCGCTTGAAGATTAAAACTCTCTTCTACTTTGGTGAAGGGACAGACGACTAGATGCATAGCCGACGCCAAAAGCAGCAGCCATTCCAGAGAATCTGAAACGCCGCCGGTCGGTTTTCCCGAGGTAATACGCAAAACTAAGCACGTGGAGTGCCAGAAAGTAGCTTACCTTGATTTTTGGAAACCATGCCACCGCTTGCGAGGCTTCAGATAGAAGGATGACTCGTTCTATGCGAAGACAAGGGGCGTGCTTTTTTACCGAGTCAGCTGTTTACAGACGAGTGCAGAGGCGGGCCGCTGTTGTAGCCGAACGGCAATTCAGAAACCGGCTGTCAAGATCGTGAGTTCAATTCTGACAGCTCGAATTCATTAAGGCAGGCTTACTGCGTCCCACGGTCGGAGTTCCCCTCGCTGGAATGTCAGATGGCATTCAAAATGTCCCTGTCGGTCACTTGTATCATTACGTCGGCAAACAAAAATATGGGATGCGTGCGGAGCGAACGCTGAGCTCGCTTACCTAAGAGAAGATTTGAAGTTGGTCAAAAGCTGGGACGCAGAAACGAGTTTCAAGCGAGCGTTTCTAATATAAGCTGAATGCCTAAGGGCTGTGGATCGTTTCAGATCAAATCTGACAATTGTAAAGGCACAAGATATTGCGTCGAGCGAGAGCTGACAACATCAAACACCGAGAGCAGGATTGGATTGGATTGGATCCGTTCGGCTGGAAGGGCACCGGGCATGCGGTCATGCTGTTGTGTGGAAACCGAAACTCAGGTTGTAATCGTCGTTCTTTTTTTAGAAAGTTGCGTTCAAAATAAGGGGGGGGGGGGGGGGGGGGGGGGGGGGGGGGGTCGTGGCGAGAGTGATCTCCACCCTCGTATGATTAAATTTAAACGAGGCGGCCTAGCTTTGCCAAAATATGCCCTGCAGCGTACGCCTGCATTCGTGCAGCTGAAGCGCGCTTAAATTCACGCATCGCAGAGCTTTAATTAAAGTGGTTGGTTCTTAAACATATAAAAAATGACGAAAAATAATTAAAAAACGAGGACCGAGGAGAGAGGCACACAGGACACAGCGTAACTTGCAAGTGGATTTAAATATAACACACACATAAAAATATTAAATCCGCTCATGCACGCAGGGAATGCATTAAAGAAAACCCAGAAGCCAGACGTCACTGGTGGGTGGGCGTCTGAAGTTTGACCGGTAAAGGCATGCTCCTTATTAGAGAGGGCGATGAGAGTTCGAATGTTTGTATTAGCGCTCCCTCTATCGCCATCTCTGATAAGGAGCAGGCCTTTACTCAAGGAGGTTAGAAGTACTAGGAGGGGGCGTGGACATGTCACGTGCGAGATGGATGGTTGATTGTAGGAGGATTCCTTGCAGGCTTGCGCGCGCTCCGTACGGCGTCCGGTAGTTTTTATCAGATTGAAGGATAGACGAGGGCTAGCGACGGTCACGTGATGTGGTCATGTTGGGCTGATAAGTGAGGAGAGTAAGGATGAAAATGAGGAAGAGGCGAGGCGTCAAGTTAGTTGCAGGGGAGCATCGCTTGTGGAGGCTACATGGCTGACGTCACGCCCTCTCCTACACTTCTATTCTTCATGCCTTTACCAGCCAAGCTTCAGACACCCCACCAGTAACGTCTGTTTTTTTTTTTTTTAATTGAAATGTATTTTTTGTGCGCACGAGCGGTTTCAATCTTTTTATGTGTGCGTTCTATTAAAATTCAGTAGCAAGTTAAGCCCTGTTCTGTGTGCCTCTCATCCAAAGAGGTTAGAAGTACTACGAGGGGGCATGTTGCAATATTAGGGAATTGTAGTAGACCGTTCCCGCAGCCCGCTAAGCACCCGGATAGCGCTCCGTAATCCGCCACAAGACCTTGAACTATGCAGACAAGGCTGGCGGCGCGCATGCGCAGCTGCGGCGTTTTCTTCGGGGATACCGTTAGAGTCCCTGGAATATTCATACCGTAGCGGAGGAGAAAAACGATCTACTACAATTCCCTATTGGTGAAGCCTAGCCGTAAAAAGTTTAAACGATGCTGTGGCCAACGTGACCGCAGATCTCTCTGGCAATTGGTGCGCGTGACATGTCACGTGTGAGATGAATGGTTGATTGTAGAAGGATTCCTTGCAGGCTTGCGCCCGCTCCGTCCGGTAGGTTTTATCAGGTCGAAGGCTAGACTGTGGTGTATTCTAGCACATCATAGCTAGACGAAGGCTAGCTACGGTCACGTGATGTGATCACGTTGGGCTGGACAAGCGAGGAGAGTAAGTAGGAAAATGAGAAAGGCGCGGCGTCAAGGGAGCATGGCTTGTGGAGGCTACGGGGCTGGCGTGATGCCCTTTCCTACCCTTCTATCCTCCTTGCTCTCATCTCTGTCCTAGTGCTTTTTTTTTGCGTAAATTTTATTATGTAAAGTTATCAGAAAGAATAAACAAAAAGACGTATTTTTGTTTATTCTTTCTGATAATTTAATCATCACCAACGCGCTCACCATAACTTATCATGTATATTTTGTTTCTCAAGCAAGAAAGAGCTAGGCTACCGATCTTTAAAAGTCTAGGCAATCTTCTTTTTTTTTTTTTTTTGTTTACTGTGACAGTCAGATTAACCAACGGTTGAATATGAATGTACAGATTTTTATTCTTCTTCCTCAAGACGCGTCTCTAGCACGCAGCTAGAGACGCGTCTCGAGGGAGAATAAAGGGCCAATTTTTAAGATATTTCGCGGGCAATCATTTTTCAGATTCCGAGTGACATTCTAAGAATTGTCATCGCCACCATCATCGCCATAGAATTAATTATGCAAGGCCTCAATTATTTGCCGTTATTCTAAAATCACGAAATTCGCGAAAATTAGATCCTCGCGGAATTGACTCCGTGAGTGTGACGTCATGGGTCCAAACAAACCGTTGCTAGGGTCGTTGTTATGGACAAAGACATGTGGCTGGGATTCGCTACGAAAACCCGACCATTCAAAAATCAGGTTCTGTACTAAAATATTAAGGTGGGCTAGTTGGATACGCATTTTCGAAATAAATGGCGCGAAGGTCAAGAACAAACTGACGGTACAAGCGCTAAACTCACAACTGTCGTTTTAATCACACAGAAGACGAGAAAAAGGTAGCGTTTCTCTCTCGTCTTTCTTTTCGGTATGAAAAATTCCCAAAATGAAACGCTCTTGATGGAAGAGGAAGTTACGTTGAGAAAACTGAGAAATAACAATAAAGGAAGAGGGCGTTACGTCAAAAAACTGAGAATTAGCAGAAAGAAAGGAAGAAGTTGTCCACAGTAAACCAAACAAACCACCTTAAGTAGGAAAGTTAAGGTAGTTAAGTTCTTTTTCAGTTAATGCCACTGATGGTGCACTCTACCGTCTTGATAGCGCTTGTACTGTCAGTTTGTTCTTGACCTTCGCGCTATTTATTTCAAAAATCAGGAGTAGGATTTAAACTTCTAAAAATCACAGATAAAGAAAGCTTGAATGTCATATATGTTTCGACAGAAGTGTGCCGGTAATCGCTTGTTTCTGAAATATTTACGACTGCAACTTCCAGTCTTCAAGACGCCTGCAGCAGACGACGAATGCAAGAAGTATGCCGTCTGCCACACGCCGGCAGGCCAAGCCGCGGCGTCGTTTGAATCGTGTGAATAAGGACGATACTCTGATTTTGCATTTGTTTTAAATATAATGATTTTCAGTAACTTAAAAGAATTCATAGTGGGGTGCGATGCAAAATATGGCTTATCGAAAGTCCGGGCGTCGATCGAGACGCGTCTGCTAAAAGATCGCATTGGACCCGTGAGAAAAGCACTTCAGGCGATCGGTGGAAATCCCAAATTTTGTTTGTGGACTCGCGCTATGCGAGGGTGCGTCGTACCTGGATGTAACCATCGCTGCAATGGTTACTGAAAAATCGCGATAGACATGGAATTCTTTAATAACCTGACAACCTCAATAATAACTTATCAAGAATAATTTTTATTAGGTGTCCAGGAACGACCATGCGGTCTTGGTACTGGCACACCGAAACTTACACACTACAAAAAGGTAGAAAAAAAAACATAAAAAACTCAAAACATTGAGTAAAATATATGATACTTATAATGCATGCTGACACAAAGATACGATATACACAACAAGAAAAGAACGGAACATAGGGTCCGAACGCAGAGTAGGAAGACTACCACAACAACGAATATACCTTATAAAATAATATATAATAACATCATAATCACGACAGGTTCAGCGAGACTCTGAGAGATCTGACAAATTCAGTCACACAAAAAATATCAAGATCACTTGCAATGCCATTATATGCCCGACGCATGCGAAACATGGGTCCAGGATATTTAACGTTCGAGGAGAGTAAAAAGACGTTGTCAAACGGGTCGCTGTCCGAGGAACTCGTAAAGATATCTGTGAGAGCAGTTCTGAACAGTCGGCCATGCCATGAAGGACTTTGAAAAGGAAAACCAGATCTGCCTTTTCTCGACGGTGATATAAGCTGTTGATTTGTAGGACGTCCAATACATTGTTACTCTTTGATAGAGGTTTCATAATAATCATAATAATAATAATAAACAAATTACTTCGACGGCGTACGATTTGTTTCTCATATTGGCCTGCACTACACCAGTAATGCACTTCAGGTCGTCGTCGTAAATGATCTGCATGACGTGGTTTGATTTTACGACATTTTCACCCCTCTGAACTAAGCTGGATTCTTCACAGAAAAAAAAAAAAAAACGCACATTGTGAAGGTCTCTACGGCCACGGCATTGCGCTTGTTTACCGACGCAATTCAATGAAGACACCCGCTGCAACAGAGGCCAGCAAATCTATCGTGTCATCTGCTGCCAAAGCAAAGCGGAGTGTAATACTTCAGAAATCGCTTTCATTGTTGCAATACGACACTGAGACGACAAGGACATCTTCATAATTAGATATCAAGAAGTTAGGTTGCTTACAAAAAATGATTTACTTACTTGTAAGCACAAGTCTAGCCTCATGTGGAGTCTCCATGCATTAGTCCATAGCAACGTCCCTAGCAACGGTTTGTTTGGACCAACGTTGGTTTGGACCCAGACGCCATGTTGTGACGTCATCACTTACGGGGTCAATGGACCTCTTGGCGAATATGTGCTGCCACCGAGACACGCGACTGGGTTCGAGGCTAAGTGGTGAGAAAACAACGCGTGCGCCAGGCCTTTTCCACCCGTTCCACACCCAAAACGTCAGCTACATCCTGCTCACCCCTTGAGGCGCTGTGACCTAGATACGGCTCCCCCAAACTCGCCTTTGTCTTATGCAATCTTGTGCGCAACAAAGACGAGGACAAAAGCAGAGAAGAGGACACAACAAGATTGTTGTGTCCTCTTATACTTATACAACTTATACACGATTGTATAAGATGTCAAACCAACTCGCCCAAACAACCACTCTTCTCGCCTTTGTCCCCATCGTGCGTAATCTTCCGCCCTGAAGTCGGCACCACGAAACCATCTTCCCTCTCTGCTCTGCCAGAAGGAAGAGAGAGAAGATACTGGAACCATTTACTCTCAAACCGATGTTTCTACAAAAGGTCCAAGGTCTCGCACAACTGGAGCAAACTATTCTGTGCGCTCAGAAGTTAGGATCACACGCTGCTGATCTTCACCGGGAAAGCCTTTCAAGGCAGCTGAATATAGGTTCATT